CAAGACATGCCGTTTTGTTAGGTAATCGACCACTGTAGACAGGGTAGGCTTAGGACAATATTTTTATTCAGTCTAAAGGAATCTATTTTATATAATTTATTTAAACCTTTGAATAAAATGATAATCTTTGAATAAGAAGACTAAGGAAGGAGCATTTCAAAAATCTTAGGTCCACCGCGATGGGACTCAAATATGGCCGACTTAAATTCCGGTTTATCGGTGCCGTTCTAATTTTATTTAAAAAATGTAAAACTATGATGTAGGGTAGACGTGGGGTAGACTCAATATTTTTATTTTATTTTACGTTGTGAATAAATGTTGGTAGTTACTAAAATTGTTATAAAAATATAAAATTTTAATAAAAATAGATAAGTTATATTAATTGGAAATGTTTTCTCCGTTATTCCTTGACTCATTAATTTGTTGTTTTATTTTACGTTGTGAATAAATGTTGGTAGTTATTAAAATTGTTATAAAAACATATCATTATAATAAAAATAGATAAGTTTTAATAATTATTTATTAACACAAACATTCGATACGCTACTGAAGCAGGTAAGTCAAATTGACGTATCTAAATTCTTTGACATCTAATCTTTGACAAGTAGTAAATAAAAGCAACAGTGCAAGAAAAAATATATAATTAGTTAATTTAAGTGAATTTCATAAATGATCGGTTTACTACACGTATGTATATTATATAATCACTTACTAGCGAAAAGTTGTTCCATTATTTCACTCGATTTTTGCCGAGATCCATCGCACGCTACACAACCAACTATTTTAGAGTCTTTTTCAATAAATCGCGATAGTGTCACTGTTAATTTAAGTTCTGCCACAATTTCCATCTAGATTTACTACCTTTATACAACTATCAGTAGTAGAATAAATAATAAATAACATAAAATACACTCCGTAAAGACCTTTTAAGGTAAAGACTGACAAATCCACAAAATTTCAAATCAAATTCAAATAATGTGTCAAATGAATCGTCAAACAGAACTGTCAAGGATCCCCACCCTAGAGTCCTTTTTCCGCCAACCATGCATGAATACATGGATAGCATTATGCTCCTTCCTTAGTCTTCTTATTTAAAGGGTATAATGCTATCGGCATCATTACCCCCATTTTGACAATTCTGTTTGACGTTTCAATTGACACATTTGAATCTTATTTGACTTTGATTAGCAATTTGGCGAATTTGTTGTGCTTTTTATGAGCTTCGGTGCAGCTGATGTCGGAGATGGAGAGCTGGCCTCTGTGAAGCCGTCTCAGATACTGGTTTTTGTCAAAGAAAATCTCTCGAAAAATTTAAATTCCCAATCTAAAGTGATTCTACTTTATACACAATTTAGTCTTACAAATATCATATTTTATTTGTACTAAGCACAACGTCAATATCTAAAAGTCATATTTCCGTGTTTGTTACCTATATTTTTTGCAACAAGAATTGTATTTTTTTTACTTTCTAACATCACTAGGCTTTACTTTAATACAAGAGGTTTATGTCTTTCATTCTGCGTCACTCTGTATAAACAATCTCATATTTTCCAAACAGATAAGGATCATAAATGGTCGTAAAAATGCTTGTTTAGATCTTGAACAACTGTAAATATTTATTACATTAATTTAGACTTAGTTACGATATTTTTAAGTCCGGATTACTGCTTTAATCTTTTGGCTGTGATTGAACTATTTTTTATTATTTTCAAAACATTAATTATTTCCTCACAACAAATAGTTGATACTGTCTTAATTCCAAACATTTATTTTGTTCCAAAGGTTGTTTTCTGTGTAACTTTTATGAAATTATAAAGTATACATTTTATCAATACATAATGTTGTTAATTCGGTAATAATCTTTTATACAGGGTGTCCTAAAATTAGGTGCAAGTATTTTAAGGGGTGGTAGATCTCGATAAAAGTAACATAATATTTTCTCTTTATCGTTTTTCAAGTAAGTCCAAAATAAGGCAGTTGTTTTACTTTGAAAATTTAAAAAAAAAAAATTTTTTTTAGCTAAAATTTTGAGAACCACTTGGTTTTTTTTCTGGATTTTCTTTCTTGTAAATTTATTCTAATACCTATGTTGCCATATTATCAAGAAATTTTGTTTTTTAACTAAAAACAAAAGAAATTTCAAAACAACTTGTTTATCTCGATTTTTGACCAAGATCTACCGCACGCTGCACCTCTATTTTACAGTCTTTTTTTCTGGAATTCGCAATAATGTCACTGTTTTTTAATTTAAGCTGTGACAGAATATTCTTCTAGATATACCACCTTTGAACAAAACAGGGTGCAATGATTTAAATCAATTTGATATAAATCAACGGATTTTTTTTATTTTATTCATGGATTTAAATAAAAAAAAATCAACTTGTTTAAAAACTTATGATAAATCGGAAGATAACTGTAAAAAGTATAAAAACTTTTTCTATAAAGCTATAAAAAATCATCAAATAAGTACAAAGTTACACTTGCTGCTGTTGTAACGTTTAAATACTTCTATAGATCGAAAAATAATTGTAAAAGATATAACATATAAAAAATATCCCAAATATCTATTAAAAAATGTTGGACTTATTTTTGAAGTTATTTCGTGGGAATCCATTACAAAATGACAGAGATTTATTTTGAAATTGTGATGTGCCATGATTTCGGTATTTGAATACATTTCATTCGCATACTCTAGTGCAGGGACTAGTTGCTTCTGATGTCAGGTTATATTTTTATTCCCGAGGACTAATCAGTGTCAAAAGATAAGCTGGAGTCAAGGCTGTTTACTTTACTAGGATTAAACCTGGACAAAAAACTTAGCTGGAACTCCCATCTGGAAAAAATATCAAAAAAGGCTTGCTATGCTCTATGGGCATGCCGCCGAATTTGTGGTAGAAACTGGGGATTAAACCCCAAAAATATGTACTGGCTATACGTGATAGCCATCAGACCTATTATCACGTATGGCGCAGTTGCCTGGTGGCAGAAAGCCAACCAAACAACGGCAAAGAATAAACTGTCAAAATTACAACGACAAGCATACTTAGCGGTGACTGGTGCCTTTCATTCTACGCCTTCAAAAGCTATGGAAACCCTACTCGACTTACCTCCTCTTCAAATTATTTTGGAGAGGGAGGCGAGATGGGCTACATATAGGTTTCTAAATATGGCACGAGAGAGCCAAGGAACAATCATGTTCATACAAAACCGACTAGTAGATGAACTACAATCGGATGAGATTCTGGGAATGGTCTCGGATCTCACACCACCAATCCAACTCTTGACGCGCACCTACAACGTCCTGTTTCCGAATAGGGACGAATGGGATAAGCCGAGAAACGGCTTATTATTTGCGGAAATGTGTTGGTACACGGACGGATCCAAAAACGATAAAGGATCTGCCGCAGGAATTTACTGCAGCAGTCCAAAGACTGAGATCTACCACAGTCTTGGAAAACAAACCACTATTTTCCAAGCTGAGCTATATGCGATTGAAACCTGTGTGCAGCTGCTGGTAGAACAGCAATACACCGGGAAAACAATAAGCATATTTTCGGATAGTCAAGCCGCGTTGAAAGCACTTGAGGCAACGAAAAGTACGTCCAGGACGATTCTTCATTGTAAGAAACTACTCAATATATTAGGAGATGGAAACAAAGTGTCGCTAATATGGATACCGGGACATGTCGGCCTAGAGGGAAATGAACGTGCTGATTCCCTCGCCAAAACTGGTGCAGGCTCGCCATTCGTGGGCCCAGAACCGACACTTAGCGTACCAAAAATCTCGCAAGAGACAGGCTCTGTGAATGGGTTAGGGTGTAACACTTCGGGACTGGTATGACAGTCCCGGAATGGAACATGCCAAAACAATCCTAGCAGGGCCATCCAAACGTAGAACAGATGAACTCCTAAAGGCTGGTAGGAACGGAGCGCGTACGCTTACTGCAGTATACACGGGCCACTGCCGGCTGAGATCACACCTACAGAGGATGGGACTGGTGGAAGACGCCGAATGCCGACTCTGTATGCAAGATGACGAAACAATGAAGCACGTTATGTGTACCTGCCCCGCTGGGGGCAGGACCAAGTTAGACCTAGAAGACATATCACCCTCGGTACATAACGGCCTATGTTAAAAGGCTGGGTCTTGAGGGCGAACTTTAATGCTCTTTTTCTATTAAAGAGCTTGTAGAAACTGAGCCACAATAGGCCCTCGCGGCCTCAGTGGATGGTCCCACCTGGGACTCACTCTTAGTAAAATACAATACAATACAAGGCTGTTTTATACCTTTTTTGAAACAGCTGAATGTTGGTCAAGCTAACTTCCGCCTTCCCCAATTTATCTTCTATTTCATTCCAAATTTCTACCGACATTTTGTTCTGCAATAAGTACCTATTATACTTTGCATTTTGAACATTAGATGGTACTAATTTTATTCTCGACTTAAGACATCATTATCTTCATATCAACATCATATTTTTAAAATAACACCTTTGGTCTAAGCGGCTGATTTTTTTTTTTCGGGAAATAGCAGCAAAGTTTACAGAATAAAATATATCGGTGACCGATGTGGAAAAACGACACCCGCCGTAGAAATGTCAATATTGTCAATATCGGGCAGGGTTACAAAGATTTAGCCATTTAGGATAGGACTTTAAATAGAGAATTGATTAAAATCAAAAAAATCCGATTAAAATAAAAAAAAAATCTGATTAAAATTTAAAAAAAAACGATTTTTTGTATTTTTTTAAAAAATCATGTTTTTTTTTGCACCCTGCCAGGAGATAAGATTATGGAAAGGAGAAGAAAAAGGAAAAAGTGGGCTCTAAGTTTAAAACGATTTTTTATTTGTTAAACATTTAATTTTGTAATAGTTTCTACGTCTTTGATGACGTACACTTTTATTGATTTCTTCGTATTGTTACACAGTTAATTTAGTTCGCATATGATATTTTATTTTAAATTCAACAATACATTTAATATTTTTTTGTTTATACAGGGTGTCAAGAAACCATTCACCGAAGTCATCAAAGCCAACATCGGCGATTGCCATGCCATGGGACAGGTGCCCATCACCTTCATCCGACAGGTACTGACCTTGGTGACGTCTCCATCTCTCCTGGACGATCCCAGGTTCCCGGATGACGCGAAGGAAAGAGCCAGGACCATCCTGAAGGGATGCAGGGGCGGATCCGTTGGTTCGTACACAGATTCACCCGGAATTGAGATTATAAGAAGACACGTTGCGCAGTATATCGAGAGGAGGGACGGTATCCCTGCCGATTGGCAGAATGTCGTCATCAGTGCAGGTGAGTTGATATACAGGGTGGTCCGAATTGTATTCGGGAAACTACGGCAGCATATTCTGCAGATACAAATAAGTAAAAAAATTCGTATAAATGTATGTCCTAAAATGCTTCATTTGGAAGATACAGGGGTGTTAAAAAAAATTCAATATAATTTCTGAACATTTGGCGATATTTGGATGAAAATTGTTGTCTGGGTGTTTTTTGACATGAGAAATTCGATTTTGATGCCAATCAGGGTTGGGTAACGACGAATAAAAAATTAATTTTCCACGTGTAGGGTAGAAACACCGGTTGTGGCCAGGTTAAAGGATTTTTAGAGTTTAACTTATCAGAAAAACTATTTGTAGTTAATTTTGGAGATAAAGCAAAATTTTTGGTGCTTCTCCAAACATTTTTCTTTCAAAATCTGCTTTTATTGTAAAGATTTGTATTCTTAATAAACAGAAAATAAGCATTTTATGAAAAGATACGATTTTTCCCATTTGTGGCCACCTTGTACCAAATGTGGCCACATTTACTACCATTTGTGGCCACATTCTTGCAAAAATATTCTCTATATTGAATTTTGCAGATAACAAAGCAAATATTATTATTTTATTTATTAATTTCTTTCAAAAAAATACCTAAAATAACATTTGGCACTTAATTGTTTATATTTTTAACAAAAAATAACATGAACGTTTATTCCTATAATTCTTAAAACAAATCAAGTGATACCTAATACCTTATTTTGCTTTTTGTCTGTTATACAAATGTTAAATAAAAATTAGGTACATATTACTACTACTGTGAGGAACAATAAGCAAAAGTACACTATTTATCAGAATATTCTTGAATATTTGTTAGTTCAGGTACCACATATATGCCTCTTGAATTGACTTTTTTAGACTCATCAATTTTCATTGTTATATCACTCAGTTTGTACCAAAGCAAGTCATTTTTACTTCCAATTGCCGCAGATTTGAACCATTATAGTTATAATATTCATTATTTTCAATTTGTAATATTTTTCCTGGATTCAACTAATTTCGGTACTTTAAAATAATAAAATTTCCTATATTTAATTCACCAGATGTCACAGAAGTTTAAGCTGGTGTTGGTTTCTCTTTTTCATTTCTACTAGAAAGATCTTTATTTTCTTTAAATTTTATTTTCATTGTTTTCTTTTTTGTAAAGTTTTCATTGTAAGTTTTTGTTTTTTTCTACTTTCCTTTCATTAATTCAATCCACTTATCACAGGTAATGACTAATGGTAGATGTAGCCTCTTTCTTTTTAAAGATTAACATCTTCCCGGGCATTATCCTATGTCTACTAGTCTTCTTTTCTTGCATGGTTTGGTCTAGTGGTCCTGAATCATCTTTCTTTGAATTCTCATAATTTTTATTTTCATCGCATTCGTTCATGTTTATTCCATTTAGTTCTGTATCTATATTATTTTCTATGTTCCTTTTCTCATCTGAAGGAAAACTTGATGACGATATATGTTCAGATTGGTAATCTTGGCCGAGAATTGTATTTGGGATATTATTATATTTAAGTACTATTATTCAGCTTTTATTAAAAGCTGAATAATAACAAATAAAATGTTCTTCATATTATGTTGTCCGTCGTTTGCACTTATATTATAAAGCTAAATAATATGTGGCCACAACTAGATTTCGATTGCACCATTTTTGGCCATAACCTGGCCACAAGTAGAACATAATTAAAATTTAATTACACCTTTTGTGGCCACAGAAAGAATTCCTAAATATTAATTATTTGAATATAATAAATTAAAAAATAGTTGCCAGATATATAATATTTATTAAAATCATGGAAAATTAAACCTCAATACAGATCATTGTTAATAATTTGAGTTCTACTTAACAAGCTATCCTTAAGAAATGGGTTAAGAAAACAGTATCTAGTAAATATGTGCTACTATTTTTTGATCTAACGACCGACTTTTACACCAAATTTGAATATTTTCTATCGAATATGGTGCTGGATATATCTATTTAGAAAATTATAGATGCACGGTTGTCACAATGACGTGAAAAAGCTTAAATTTTAAGATGTTTTTAAAGAAGTGGCTACAACAGTGTCAATGGCCACAAATGGTGCGTCTACCCTATGTAGAAATGTGCGTAGAAAATGTAGAATATTATGTAGAAAATGTATAAAATCTGAGAACAGGTACAAAATTAATTTTGTATATTTAAAGTCACTTTTTTCACTTTAGAGGTTTCTTCCTTTCTTTTTTCTTTTAATTCTATAAGTGTTAAAACTGTAATATGTGTGCACGCGCTATCTCTCTATTTGTGATGGTACTAATTCCCTGAAGATAAGAGACAGTAATCTATCTGAAGACTATTAGAATATTTTTTTCTGTTTAATCTGAAAGACAGAAAAGTCTGATTTTTTCCTTTGAAAGTTTTCGTTGTTTCTTTTTTTAATTTTACCATAGAAAGCCTGTGGTTTTATAAACTATACCGGGTGGTTTCATAAACTATATCGTCGTTGGGAACATAGGAAATCCCATGCAAAATTTGAACTGTCCAGATATTGGCTCCCCTCAATAACAGTTAACATAATAGGATTGCTCATTCAGCCAAAAGTGTCCGCCAGGTGCATGCGAAAACTACTCGCTTTGTAACGTCATTGTAGTCCTTGTCATGGTTATTTGTCCTTATCCGGCAACCAATAATACACACACGTGCATTATTGGTTGCCGAATACAAACCGTTCATTGTCACGCATCCTGCCGTTGTACATATCAATTTAGAATAATATGGAAGTTAATAGTTAAGCTTTTTTGGCATACTATATACTATCCATTTGTTAAATGGTAAGTAACAATTAGAGATATCATTATTAGTTTATTTCTTATACTAATAGTTGTGGTTGAAGTGTTTGAAATAAATACAAACTCAAAAAAGGCTTACAATATACAAAACTAATTTTCTACGTCCGGCAATGTAAAAATGTAGCAAATTAGTTGCAGTAGAAAATATAGAATTTTATACCTACCCAACCCTGAAGCCAATATGATTCCTATTTTTAACTGTTTTGGAGAGTAATAACTTTTCGGCCCTACCTGTATAAAAGTACGGAGTAAAACGTAAAAAGGCTTCTTGATAAAAATCGCTACGAGTTACCGTTTTCAGATATTTGAAATGTAAATTATCAATACGTCATTATTACAAAAATAAATATGTTGACTAAAAAGTTAATATAGAAAAAATATTTATTGTCTAATACTTTCATTACTTATAAATAAGTTGTAATCATGTTCTAATAACCTACTTAACTAGAAAATGTAACATTGAAGAACTATTAATAAACACAACATAATGGTGCTGATAAAATCAACGCGCGTGCTTAATTCCTTACATGCACCGTAAAAAAAATTAAATAACTGCTCAGCAAGTAGCATTTATTAGCAGTACTAATTTAAAAAATCTATAACTGTAAGTAGATATATTTAATTTACTTACCATTGTATCCTTCGGAAACCCGGTGTACAACAATTAAACTCCATAAAACACAAATTGTCCCACCATTTTTAAAAAACATTGTCTAAAACCGAATACTACCAAAAAATCTGAAGGAATTTAGTTTTACTATAATTCGACTAATCAAAACGAAATCAAACCGTAAAATCACAACAAAAACGTCTCTGAGTGTTTCGTGTCAGTTAAAAATCAAATTTTATTATTGTCAAATATTGACATTTGCATTTTGTTGATATTGACAGTTTTAATATTTTGCGCCTCTGCATCTTGGAGGAAAAACTATTTTAATGAACTGTCATTTCCATTTAAGTTTCCCAGCCATGGTCTTAGCGCTGTCTACTCTAACGTTTTACCACAGGTTTTACCTGTCTTGTAAGGCGGATTAAAAATAGCGTATGCACTGGAAGTTTTTTTTTATCAATTACAGGTATTGTGTTTATTGAAATTAAAAAGAAAAAATATGGAATTTTACTATAAAATTGTATTTATGGTGTAAAGTTCTTTATTTCAACTATGTTATGTTTTATTCAACTATGTTATTAAAATAAGTCTAACATTTAATATGCACAAAACAAGATTTATTCGATAAGAATATGTTTGAAATAAGTACATCCGTACTAATTTAAAATCACTACAGTCAGTTGCACGGATTCGAGTTTTCAAGGTACTTACACATCTAAGTACTTTATCAAAATTGGTTTACTTTGTAATAATAAATTTTCCTACTAATCTAAAGTACTTTTTATCACCGGGTATATATTTTTTTTACGTTTAACGATAATATGTTGTTACCAATTAACAATATTATAACAGATCTTTAAACCATAAATGTATTTCTCATAAAATATAATGAATTTATTATAAAAGGTTTTTTTGTGAAAGCGTTTTGAAATTGATAGTTTTTGATATTTATTTGAGATTCGAAAGGACATTCTATTAGACACTAGTGTCTAAAAGTGACACTTGTTTAGACACTAGTGCCTAAAAGTAAACAATGAAACTTTTCTTTGCCTGATATCCGGAAGCTTTTCTTTTTAAAAATGCAATAAGATTTGTGAATTTGCTAATATCTACGTTTATGTTCAGGTAAATCATGGTGCGGAGCATCGAATATTTACTCCACAGAGTTGACGGTTTTAAGGTAGTGGATAACTTCAGGAAATAGGCTAGCAATACCTTTTCTGTGAAATGCTCAACATGTTTTTCTTTTACCCAGGTTTCAAAGTTGTTGTAGGTGGTCTCGTATACATTTTTCGATTTCTCCGACACCAACGTGGATAGCGCAGTTTCAGCAGCTTGTTGAGTATCTAAATCTCGTCATTATCACTAATTTTTTTACAAAACTTTGTAGGAAATACGGCGACGTTTGAACCTGACAGAACTTTGTCATTAAAAAATGTTTAAAAATAAATAATAATAATAGCATGAAAATCTCAAATTATCCGCTTTCACAAAAAATCTTGTATGAAATTCGCTGCGAAAAGAGTGTTTTAAGCACTCGACGCATTGTCCAAGCGCTTTTAGTTAGTTTGCAAAGTAACTGGCTAGTTTTAAAACTAGCCAAATATCCATTTTAGCCGTAACATATACAGAAAATGTATTTTTGTATTTTCAGGAGCCAGCGACGGCATCAAAAACATCCTCAAACTCATGATCTGCAACGTGGGCGGCAAACCCCCAGGCGTCCTGATCCCAATCCCCCAATACCCCCTCTACTCGGCGTCCCTGGCCGAGTTCGGCATCAACCAAGTCGGGTACTACCTGAACGAGTCGAAGAACTGGAGCCTGGACATCAGCGAGCTCCAACGAGCCATCACCGAGGCCAAGAAGAACTGCGAAGTCCGTGCCATCGTCGTCATCAACCCGGGGAACCCCACAGGGCAGGTATTGCCTCGCGAGAATATCGAAGAAATCATTAAATTCGCTTACAAAGAGCGCCTATTCGTCCTCGCCGACGAGGTGTACCAGGACAACATCTACGCTCCAGGTTCCAAGTTCTATTCCTTCAAAAAAGTCTTGATGGAAATGGGAGAACCTTACAGTTCAATGGAGCTTGCCAGTTTCATGTCGTGTTCCAAAGGATACATGGGAGAATGTGGATTGCGAGGTGGCTACACTGAGGTGGTGAATATGTGTCCTAAAGTTAAGGCTATGTACCTGAAGGCGATCAGCGCCATGTTGTGTCCCACCGCGTTGGGACAGTCTTGTCTGGATGCCATTGTGAATCCTCCCCAGAAGGGTGAACCCAGTTACGAGTCGTTTATTAAGGAAAAGACTGCGGTTTTGGATTCTCTTAAGGTAAGGAAATGGTCAATAAGAGCACTTGTGTGTGAATGTGAAATTAATAATATTGTTACGGATTCCCTGGGTCCACTAATTTAAACTCACGATAAAATAACGAATGTATTTTTTTCTCACTATTTTACACACAATTTATACTAATTTAACACAATTAACTATTTATAAAGATTCCTTCGCCAAATTGTCCGATTCACAATTTCAAACGCGGTATTATCAAACTTCAGAGCTGGCCCAACTGCCGAGCGAGGGCTTTATATACTCTATTGCAGCGGCGTGCGGTGACAATTACAGGCGGGGAAGCGAATCGGTAAAAAAACCTATTTCAAGACATTACTTTTACATTTTCTTAAAAAACTTACCTTTGAAAATTCCGAGGCCAATTCCATTGTTCAATTAAAATTCTATCGAAAATTGTTGAACAAACAAAAACACATAAAGTTATAATAGTTAAAATACGATATTTTAAATTAATTTTCCGAAGCACTTGACGCGCGATAGGCACCATATTTGTATTTGAGGTCTATTCGTCTATCAGCCATTACAAATTTATCTATAACATCATCATAAAATTTTGGATTTAATTTATTATAATATTACCTATAAAATCGCAAGCGAACCCGTCCCGATAAATTAAAAGTCGAGAAAGGTGGCCGAAAGATCGCTGCCGTGGCTAGCAAATGTGCGCAATTTTTCGGCTTATATTTGTCGTTTGCGTTCGAGGTCAATAACACCTACATGAAGGAGGGATAGGCGACCGGCGGCGATTCCCAGGCGCGCATCCTTGCAGTAAAAGGCTAATTAAATCTACTAGATACGTTTATGTAAGGTTTCAAATAAATAATTTTAACAAATTAAATTAATCTTTTGTTATAAAATAACAATATTATTAACGTTTAACTATTTATTTTTTCTATCTTTAAAAAGTTTAGGGAAGCGGTGCTTCCCCCGCTTCCATGGACCGCACGCCGCTGCTCTACTGACTGTTTCTCGAACCTTCTAAAATTCTCGGAGAGCGTTCTACCTTCTAGTAGTAAATTCTATTGCTGCCTGATTCGCTTTTATACTTAGCTAAGAGATGGCGCCTCAACAAAAATGTCTTTTACTTTCTGGTGAATTCGCCAGGCTTCTCAATACACTTTGCGGTTTAGTTTCTCGCTTCTCCGACTGTTATCGATATATCGATAATCAACGACATATCGATATCTCTCTATAATAATCGATATATCGATGTTTATTAAAGTATTGACTGTTTCATTGAAGTCGAGTTCGGAGGCTTTCTAATGTCAAAGTAAGTACGCTAGCTTTCAACTTACTTGAATGCTACGAAACCGTCCCACTCAACTTTGATAAAATAGTTGATACCATGAATGAAATTTTAAGGAAAAATGAAAAATATACCTTAGTTTTTTTTGGATAAAAATATTATTTTATATAACAATTTTGAAATGTTCAACCAATATTCAGACTTTAAAAAAGGTAAATTTAATTATATCCACAAAAATTGTTACATTACTGGGCTGTTAGTTTAGCCCGTTGATAAATAAATAAATAAAATAAATTTCGATATGTCTATCACTATCAATGTATCTATAGTTATCAATAACATATATTTATGGAAATGCTATCAGTACAACGCTAGCTATCGACATACCTATAGGTGTCAAAATATTGATAGGTAACGATAGGTATCGTTACAATATAGCGGGTGCGTCTCAAAAGTGGCTCACCCCTATAACTTTTTTATTTTTTCCGATAAAAAAAACGAGATTTGGTATGTTAGTTTTTGACATAAATCAGTATTGATTGACGTATTCAATTGTTTTTGGCCACTTCCGGTTTCACCGGAAATGACTACAACTTTTGATTTTTAAATGGCACCGTCGATATTCTATTACTTTATTTGATAGAAAATGACACTCTAAATCTAAATAGAATGACATATCATATGTCAACTTTTGACATTTTCGAATATGGCTTATTTGAAATTTCAACATGCGATTCATAACGACAATTTGACTCGAAATGCCAAGTGTGTGGTACCAAATTATTCGTAAAAAAATGTTTTTTTCCAAATATGCTATTGAGCCACCCTCCTTCCATTTGAAAAAATTGAGATATGTGTCATTTTCTAGCGAAGAAAGTAAAAAAATAACGGGGTTTTGTCATGAAAAAATCAAAAGTTGTAGGTAATAATTTCCAGTGAAACAGGAAGTACCAAAAACAATTGAATACGTCAATCAATCCTATTTTATACTAACATATCAAATCTCGATTTTTATCTGATAAAATAAAAAAGTTATAGATGTGAGACACTTTTGAGACACACCCAGTATATCGGTTTATATCAAATTTTTGAAGTCACCTATTGTTACTCGGTATATTATTGATAACTATCGATAGTTATTGATATATATCGGAAAAAATCCATCCCTAGTCCTGTGGAATTTTAAAAGGTGTTACAATATAAAAATTGCAGTTATTTACTTCATTACACCTCGTATTTCTCTCGATAGGTAACGATATATTATCGATATGTACCGATATATCTAAAGGTGCCGACATATCGATAGATATCGATTTATCGATAATTTTGAAGATACCTATTGTTATTCGATTGTGACTATCGATATCTATATCGGAAAAAAATCCCATCCCTAGTCCTGTAGCCTTATAATTTTAAGACTACATTAAATTATTTTAAAAACTGTAATTCTTTTCTTTATGACACCTTGTTTTCTTTTATTTACAGTTACGAGCCAAAATGGTAGCGGACACGTTCAACTCCATGGAAGGTTTCAGCTGTAACACAGTTCAAGGAGCGATGTACGCCTTTCCCCAAATAACCCTCCCCCAGAAAGCGATAGAGGCTGCGAAAAGCGAAGGCAAACAGCCCGACGTGTTCTACGCCTTCGAGCTGCTTGAAAGCACCGGAATTTGTATCGTCCCCGGATCGGGATTCGGTCAAAAACCCGGAACATATCATTTCAGGACGACTATCCTTCCCCAGCCCGAAAAACTGAAAAGTATGCTGGAGAAATTTGCAGAGTTCCATAGTCAGTTCATCAAGAAGTATTCGTAATTTATATCGATTCACTTAATTATAAATTATACATTTTTTATGTCAAGCAATTTTGAATAGGATTCAGAAAGAGTATTGTTGGTTGTATGTTGTAACCAACCAAACTGAGTCGTGAGTAGGGATGGGCTATAATGGATTTTAATTATCGATAAGTTATCGCAATTCACCTATCGATATATTTTACTTATCGATAATTTTAAACTCATCTAAAAAATCGAGAACTGTAGATAGTTATTGATATATCGGAAAAAATATCCTATTATATATCCCTATAATCATAAGTATCTATTTTAAAAAGTTTTTTTTTGAAATTTTGAAAGAAAAACTACGAAATACCGGGTACGTCTCAAAAGTGGCTCACCCCTATAACTTTCTTATTTTTTTTAGTTAAAAAATCGAGATTTGGTGTGTTAGTATATGACAAATTAGGATTGATTGACGTATTCAATTGTTTTCTGTCACTTTCTGTTTCACCGGAGATGACTACAACTTTTGATTTTTAAATGGCACCCTCGGTATTTTTTTACTTTATTCGATAGAAAATAACATTCTGAATAGAATGACAGATCATATGTCAACTTTTGACATTTTCGCATATGATTTATTTGAAATTATAACATGCGGTTCGTAACGAAAATTTGACTCAAATACCAAGTGTGTGGTATTAAAATACGATTTTTTATTAAGCGAAAGAAAATGTCAAAAGTTGACATATGATATGTCATTCTATTCAGAATATCATTTTCTATCGAATCAATTAAAAAAATACCGAAGGTGCCATTTAAAAATCAAAAGTTGTAGCGATTTCCGGTGTAACAGGAAGTGACCAAAAACAAGTGAATACGTCAATTAATCCTAATTTACGTCATACACTAACATACCAATTCTCGTTTTTTAATTGAAAAAATAAAAAAGTTATAGGGGTGAGCCACTTTTGAAACGCACCCGGTATAATATGGCCATATTTTCTTTGAATAAAAATATTATTTGATGTAACAATTTTGAAATGTTCAACTCATATCAGGTTTTAAAAAAGGAAAGTTAAATTATACCCAAGAAAAATTGTGTGTGCACTAGATAGATGACGATATATCGATAGTAAAAAATCCCATCCCTAGTCATGAGGTGGGAGTTGGTCTCTCTAAAATAAGTTTACTCGTTTATTTTAAGAGACAATAATGTGTTATTTAGGATATTTTATTTCCTCTCTACTTTCTTGTCCTTGTGCTAGTTCAAGGACAAGCGATTGTTAATTTTTAAATTCGTTTTACTTATAATAATATATTATCTATTTTTTTGTAAATTATAAATGTGATGATAAATCGCCTTGTTATTCGAAAATATACACGAACTATACAAAATGCACTTGTTTTTTTATTTATAGACTGTAGGGGTGATCAGCGTTGTGTAAAAACAGTAATTTCTTTTTAATCCTCTCAATAATTCTTACTAAGATACTTATGGAATAGACAGTTTTATATAAAAATAATACCAACGTTTATCTCCTCGCTCTTATATATTCCTGAACAAAATCCATCATTTCCAGATTTTGAACAAAAGTTTCCAAAAAAAATTCAACTTGGTAAATAGAAATAAAATAAAAAGAAATGTTCAGAAATTTAGATCAAAAATTCTTGACAAAATGGTGAAGGTAACTTCTTACTCCCTGGTACCGAAAAATACCTCCTCGCTCTCATATATTCCTGATATAAATTCAAGGCGTCTCACTTTTAACAAAAGCTGGCCAAAATAATTTCAACCTGTCAAATAATGGAGTACCCGACCAACGAGTTCGAACGAGTTAGATTTTTTCGAAAAACGGCCATAACTTCTAAACTAAAAGAGCTATCGAGGAACGGAACTCGGCATTCGATTCGCCTTTCAACCATCTCTAAGGGTGCATAATTAGGGCGCGATCGGAGACAAAAAAATTTTTTTGGCAAAAATGAAGGAAGGTTAACCCCTTACCTCATTTTTCGCCAAAAAATTTTTTGGTCTCCGATCGCGCCCTCGTTTTGCGCCCTTATAGAGGGTTGAAATGCCTATCGAAAGCCGAGTTCCGTTCCTCTGTAACCCTTATAGTTACCGAGATATTAAGGGTTGAAGTTTGGAAACGAGTTCGAAGTGCTAGAGATAGCAGAAATATCGTTGATTAACGCTATATTTACATGTGGTACTAAATTTGCTCCTTGCCTCTTCACTCTTATGCGATCCTGATAGAAATCGGCGACTTTGGACGAGGTTTAAAAATTTTCGTGCAATCTTTGTCAAAAATTGAATTTTCTCGGGTATGTATCAGGAGTACATAAGAGCGACTAGGTAAATATTTGTACAGAATTTACCTCTTCACACTTATGTGTTCCTGATAGAAATCGGTGATTTTGGACAAGATTAAAAATGTTTTGTTCAATTTTTGTTAAAATCTGAATTTTCTCGGATTTGTATCAGGAGCACATAAGAGCAAAGAGGTATATACTTAAAATTTTTGTGCAATTTTTATTTAGGAGTACACAAGAGGTGAGGTAATCGCATAGGTATTATTTTTATATAAAATACTGTCTAATTTCTGAACAATTTGTTAAGTTTGTTTAGTATCAGAATATACTGTTTGCTTTGATAATTAAATTGTTTTTCTATTTGTTCGATAATGATTAGACAGTATTTCTAATATATTTTGGTTCAATCAAACTCATTTATTATTAATTATTGTTTATTAACATATTTTTATTAACAATAGTAATATAAAAAGTATATTAAAATCCAAGGTGTTGATGGACATGCCGATGCCTATGTTGAGGTAAATGAATCTTCTGGCTACCCTTGGACCCTGGAAACTCTTGGTTCTGCAAGAAAAATATAAAGAAATAATTATTTAATTGTTCACTAACAAGCTCAATTAAAAACTATTACATCTATAACTTTAAATAGTCAGTGAATTGATAGGATGCATCAAATATTACAAGATATATATAGAAATCTTCGTAACACAAGGAAAAAACATAGTTAAGTTGGCTGTATCTATAATTGAAAAATATTTTAATTACAGTAATTAAAAAAGCGTTAAAAACTCAATTAAAAATATCAAACTGATAGTATAGGCAACTCTATATACACGCAAGTGTATTTATAGTTGCCTAAAAATAAAAATAATATAAATTTTTAATGTATTTCTGATTGCCTATATTACAGTAAAAATTGCGCCAAGATATTTTATTTGAAATTAACCATTTACATCTACATATTTTACAAAATACAAAACTATTAGGTGTTTACTTTTAGTATAATTTACCCAAAATTAATTAGATTCCTCTTCAATAATGAATTTCATTCTCAATCCACTGTTGAATGTTAAACTTAATCAACCTAATGGCATCTTGAAGAGGGTAGTTGAATTGAAGTGCAGCTGTTCCAAGATATCCTTGTTCCAAAGCAGTACAATATCCCATTCAAAGACTCAGTACAGGAATTAGAAAAGAAATGAAAAGAAAATCAGATAGAAAGTGAATCCAAAATTATAAAATTCCATGTAGGTGTCAATAGAAATAAGTTTAAAGACTTAGAAGTCTTAGAAGAATATGAGTAAAATAAGCAATAATACACAGAGCAAAACAGTTAGCCTTGTTTGATAGCATATCTCTTAAAGAAAAGTGAAACTTTGTGAACTCTGTGTCTTATGGTCAGAATTTGCTAGTACAATACAAGAAGAAAATATTTAAAAATACAATCGAAACAGAAGTAAAATGTCTAATTACATGAAAAAAAAAATGATCAGAAGAATCATTAGTCAGAAGAATGGCACAAAAAAATACAAATTATAAAACAATCATTGGAAACAAGAAAAAACAAATAGGTATATGGTCAATAAGAGCTGGAAAAATTGGCAAAAGGTTATGCTGAGCCTCCTCCCAGGAATATCTATTCAAAATTTGAAAATCAGATAAAGAAAAAATCCTCCAGAGCATTTAAGTTCGCCCCCCTTCATCAGATTTAACCCTTGGGCGACGATTAAGCCTCACCAGTCAGTTCCCATCCCAGCTAAGCAGCCTCGTCTCGGGTCACCCTCGTCACCCCTCGAGCGGACATCCACCGGGACCCCCTACAGGCGGACCCCCCTCATCATCTTCAATGTGTCCGATATCCCGCCCCCTCTATTGTCGAGACGTCACGGGATACGTGCACGAAGAAGTCTCGTAGCTTGGGTGCCAGGTCGTATCCGGCCGAAGCCTCTAGCGTTAGAACACCTAGCTCGTAAACCAGAGGGTGGTGACTCCCTTGGGTACCCATGCATGCTACATAGGTCATCGATGCCCGAACATCAGAGTTAGGGGGTGACCCGGGCCTCCTCCTCTTAGGGGAGGCTAGTTATAATGCTCTGGAGTCGATGTTACTCAGGAAAATTCATTGGAGAAAATGCTAGGAAAGCCAGAAATGACATCATATGTGGACGAGTCAGATTTTTTTAATAAATGGCGAAAGTTATTTTTCCACAATGAAGAAGATATTAGCCAGTCAAGCTTATATTATAGAAAAATGATGATATGAAATCAACGAAGTAAAATTCTAAGTAGATGGTATGTTTTACCATTGTCTATAAATAATTAGATATTTACCAAACAAATAAAACCTATACACAAATACAGTCCATGGAATATTGTATAGAAATAGTAAACCATATTTTCCCACAATCAAGAAAATATGAGAGGCAAGCTATAATAGAGAAATAAAAGTACACTTTACCAAACAAATAAGACTTATACAGTCAATAGAATATTTTATAGAATTGATAAAAGGTGATATTATTTCCAAAATCAAGAAAACATAAGAGTCAAAAGCTATAGAAGAAAGAAATAAGACCTATAAATATGCAGTCAAAGAAATATTTTATAAAACTGATAAATGAATATATTATGCCCACACACAAAAAAATATAGAAGGCAAGGTATAACGGTATAACAGAGAAATGATTAACCATAAAAAAAATGCTATTATACAAATGAGTTCTTAGTAGAGGTATATTTTATCAAACAAATCCATAGAAATACAATCGCTGGAATATTTTGTAAAATTGATAAATGATGATATTATTCCCACAATCAAGAAAATATAGGAGTCAAGTTATTATAAAGAAATAAAAATAAACCAAAAACAACTTGAAGGTAAGTTCTAGGTTAGGTGGTATTCTATCAAAAAGAAAAAGTAGTGACCAAAAACCAAAAAATTGACCAAATTAAAAATAGGTGGTCTCAATTTATGTATCTATAATAAGGAACCATAAAAATGTATCTCGAGAAACTGAAAAAAAAAATGATAAAATCCACTGATGAACATTAAAAACCAGCAAGAATATATTGAGCCAAAGAAATAAAAATTAGATATACTATATATATTATTATATATATACTTATAAATCCTGATGCATTTGTTGGTAATATTCATCAAAATGATAAATGTACTGCCCTGGAACTGTATACATCCGTCAATTTATTGTACAAAATCTGCAAAAAAAAATTAAATAATATTACATTTGATATAATTATGCTATAATAATTGTGTTTATTTTTTATTGGTTCATATATTAATCTTAAATACATTTTAAAAGATATGGTAAGTCTGTTAATAGTGTTAATAAACATTTCATAAATTTATTAAAACAGTTTTTAATAATAAAATAAACTTACTTCTAATTGGAAAATCGAAAACCAATCCAGTAAACCAGAACGATGATGGACAAATATCAGAATTTTATAAGGAGTGACCCAGGTCTCTTGTTTTAGGTGGTTTTTATGTGCTATATCTATATCTATAACAAAACCATTATAGCCAGAATGATCGCCAGCGTCCGTAGCGGATGGGCACTCTAAGAAGATGTGCTGAGTGTGTATTATTATAAATAACATCCCTAAAAAAATTATAATTAAAGCATTATATTAAAACAAAGCAAATGTGTTAACTAAAAAAATATGGCGACAGCTTTTAACATTAAAAATATGAAATGTTTCTTTTTATATTAAAGTGTTATCAAGGGTATTATGTAACTGTTCAGAATGGGGGCCCCTTTAGTATACCATAACGCTGACTTATTCTAAAAGACGTAGAATATACTTGTTTGTCTATATGAATAAACACATAAAAAGTTACCTTTGGGAATAAAAAACATCTTTAAACACTACCAAAAAAAGTGCTTCAAAATATATCAAATATCTCTAAATATTGAGCAATATTCTAAGTAAATATCGTCCTATTGCTGCCAAAAGTCACTAACTAACATTTTTCCGAACAACCAAATTCAATCACTAACTATATTTTGAAGCGGAGAATCGATTGCAAAAGTCATTAACTACGATTTCTGGCTATTTGTTTTATTTTAATACCGAATAGTTGCTAACTATAACATCTTTATGCAATGCAATTCAACTTTAGACGCATTTTTCTCGGAAGTAATAAAAAGTAAGTTAGTGACTTTTGGCGGCAATGGGACGATATGTTCTTAACATACTACAGAAACATCGAGGAAAGTATCTATGTTTTCATACACCCGATTTTGAAAAAGAAAATTATGAAAATTTGAAAAATGTATCAGCTGGTAATGATGATGTAATTGAAATATTTCAAAGTGAAAAAAACTATAGAAAACAGGCAAAGCAATGGTTACTTACATTTTCAGAAAGTTAAAAAGACCTTAAGGAATAGAATACACTCAAATACTGTACAGAAAAACCACTTTTTCTATTAAAAAATCAGAAAAATTGTAAGAGCGACATAACTATCACGCCGTTAACGGAAACGGAAAATGTAGCACTGTCAATGTTGTCAGATTCAGCACGTGTAAAAATGGTGTAAAACCATGTAAAACAAAATGGTCATTTTTTGCAGTATAATGCGGTGTCTACAAATGCATTTATTTTAACTGTGTGTATATTCTACAAATGCAGGCTCTTAAATAAACATATATATTTTTTACATAATATGATTAATATGCGTCGGCGTCGCGTGGCGTTGAGATGACCCTATATTTATTCGATTAAGGTAGCTGAAAGGGTACCGTTGTGCCAGGCCCTTACAATCTCCTTCACTTTCCCTACTCCATCAGGTAGTGAATACTCCCACTGAACGCTCTCATTGCAGATGTTTGTCTTTGTCCATTACTTCCAAGCACCCCTTTCCGGGCAGTAATCACTAATTTATTCTTTTTAATCACCAAAACTATAGCATCAGGATGGTAGCGATATTCTGTCATTCTGTCATAGCCAGTTGGATCGTCCAATTTCCTTCGCTATTTTTGATCCAGTCTGAGAACCCGGAGAGCCTTTTGGCTTCCTCAAAATTAAAATTAAAAAATCCTGCCATTTTCAATCTCACAAAGTTGAATAAGGTAAAGTGAATCTAAAAGAAATAATGTTATTTAGGTAATTTATGCTATTCAAACAATATTTATATGATATAATTAATATATTTATCATGATTTCTTAACGGTTCAATTTGTTTTATACTTACAAAAATATTGATTTAGATTAGTTTAAAGACTTCGCTAACATCTTGGCAACACAGGTGTAAAAAATCAAATCACAAATCTAAACTGACCATTAGAAAAATAGTTTTTATGAAACCTGTGAATAAAAAAAATAATTTGTAATTTAGAAGGATATAAAGCGTTAAAAACATTTCTATGAGTATCGTATCTCTGATTAAAATTTAAATGACTAACCAGACAATATTTACGAGGAGCACATGCACATTAAGAGCAAATGCAGCAAATAGACGTCTCAAAGTCAATCTGGACATCTATTTGACAATTACCAAACTAACTAATTATAAAAATCTGTAAAAATATGACATGTGGGGACATCTAACTCACATTAAGCAAATTTTAAATTTAGAGAAATCTGTAATATTTATACTAGATGGGGCTGCCATCTAACGTATAGTATCTGAATTTCAACATTAAAGAATACTGTAAATTTTTGTTACAGGTGCCGTCATCTATGAGGCAATTGCCAAAGTGCTTAATTTTATTTTAAAGAAACCTGCAATTTTAGGCGAAAAACAATGTTTTTACAGAGCCCTCTATTATTTGAAAATTATACTATTAACAATAATTTTCAAAAATAACGTGTTACAAATATTTATCTTTTAATTTTATTTGTTTACCCATCATTTTCAATATACCGCATGAAAGTATAAGGTTAAAAACACTAAAATTATATAATTTGTTCTTGTTTTTATTTCAAATCGTCCTAACCTGAAACAATTTTGACACTTGAGGAAATGACCTCTGCGGTGGATTTTGCGCTGTTGTTTAGTTCTTGTTTTGTGTTTGCTTTCGTGGATGTGTATTTGTAATATTTATCGTATAAACTAGATGCGTTTGATACTGTAAACATGGAAAAAGAGCCACACGCCGACCCTCTGTGGCAGAAAAAGACGAGCGTTCAGAAACCTATGAGGCTACCGAAAGACCAGCAAACTGGAGCTGCTAGCACCCCCTCGCTAAAAATCGACGTCGAACAGTCCACTCTTAAGCCCGACGCACCAGAATTCATCCCCCAATCCGTGAGATTCGAGCAACTTTCGCAGTCGCTGCAACAAAACGTCGTCATAACAAATCAGACACCAAAAAGTCATGCACAGAATAGAATTGCCCTTATTAGAAATTCTAAAAACAATGAAGTAAACACAATGTCTTACTTTTCCTATAATTACTAAGATTAATCCTTTTTTTAGCCTAATAACCATGAGTATTCAGATTATGAACACGTTACCAACGGATATGGTAACGATGAATCCCTGGACATGCTGAGGTTAAGACAAATCATTTCTTCCCTTATTAAGTATCCTGGGCAGTTTGACGATCTGCTTATGGTCTTTATGGAGACAATTTACCCATATTTTGATGATATTCTGGCTATGTCTGAAATTACTAATCTTATGGTAAACGAGGTAAGAAATTTGAATTTTGTCTATATATTTTATAATTGACTCTGTAAAACTTGACTTTTCCAGGCAATAACATGTCCAAACTTCCGTTACAATGGTGCAAGGCTTTGTTGGTACGTTGAGCAAAAGTGTCCCAGTTTCAGGGCAGATTTACATTTGAAATGTCAAAAAGCATTAAACGACCATACCAATAAACAGAACGTTGTGCTCTTTATAGCCGAGTTATACACGCAACTCCCCCATGACAGTTTATATGGGGCTCTTTTGGTTGAGTCCTTTAAAAAACTACTCACATCTGGCGGAGATGACAATGTTAAGTGTATTTGCCAGGCGTTAAAGGTTAGTATTAATGTCTTAAACGTGATTATTATTAATAAAAATGTTTTGGATATTAGTTGACGGGTTATTCGTTGGAACAAAACAATAAACAGGCCCTGGACGACTTGTTTGCGCAGCTTCGATTGCTGAAGAATACTATAAAGGGTTCCGCCTTGACCTTGCTGGTTTCTGTGATAAATTTGAGAGAGTCGAATTGGGGTAGGGGAAGTACAGAGTCTCCACATAGTTCTGAGTAAGTTAGTTATTTTTATAGAAAGCAGGGCTATAAGTTCGTATAAAATTGCAAATTCAAGCGAACTTTCTAGCACACCCTGTATAATAATGGATTTAATGTTGTTTTTCTTTTATAGTTATACAGAATATGATCATGATTATGAGGAAATGGTGAAAGGTATTTTGTATGAGAGCAACGGAGAAGTTTTGACAAATGAGGAGAACGAATTTTTGGCTGCTTATGCAACCAACAGCGAGTATCTTATGTAAGTTTTACAAAAATAAACTAATCTCGTATAACTTTATACACTTAGATGCAAAAAAAACGCAACGAAATTTTTTTTGTCAAATTTAAAGTGTTATAGTAATTTTTTTTATTTTTAGCCCTATTTTTATATTTTTTTTATCAAACCGTATATAAATATAACAACTTTAATTCGTAAATTCAGTTTTTTATAAACTTTAGTATTTGGCTAATTATACAGGGTTTTTTGGAGGGTCGTTTTTTACCTTAACTTTAAAACACTTTTATATATAATATACTTTTTGATGTGATTTTTCAATATGACGAGGTGGCTTTGGTGACTATTGTATTTGGTGACTATACACTACTATGAACTGGCCGGCATGTTCAACAGATATGAACTCTATAGAACATGTTTGCCAGGAATGTTAGAGTTCGCGAAGTGGCGCAAGCTTAATAAAATGAACTTTGTTTGGACCTTACAGCAGAATGGGAAAACATAACACAATATTTGCAGCACTTGGCAATATGAACCGACATCTACAGGCAGTTATAGCAGCCACGGGAGGCAATACAATGTATTAGGGTCTTTTTTACAATTTTTTTTGTTTGTGTATTTAGTTTTTACAGTTGTTTTCTTTAATATCGTTAGTTCTGTTATTGTTATTAATCTTTTTTTAATGTAGCTTCAATATGATAGTATGACAATAGCCACCAAAGTCACCTCCTCATATTAAAATCTAATACCAAAAAGTAATGATAATTGAAAAAATTGCACATTGTTGGTGGCATGTATACTTCGCTCTTAAAAATTAACCAAGGCATCTATTGACATGAGCCAAAAAACAAAATGCTCAGGAGACATGGTTCTGGCCGAAAAATATGTCTCAGGAAAATTTTCTGACGAAATTATTGCACAGGGTGTTTTAAAGTTAGGATAAAAAACGACCTTTCGATTAACCCTGTATAATAAGCCAAATAATAAAGTTTATAAAAAACTGAGTTTAGGAATTAAAGTTATTAGATTTATATACAGTTTGTTAAAAAAATAATGAAATTTGGTCTAAAATTAACAAAAATATAACACATTAAATTTGACAAAAAATTTTCCGTATCTGTGTCCGTAACGAAACGTCATTTAAACGTCAATTTTAGTGACAATGAAGACCCTGACGCCCTGTGCGACCCCGAGCCGGAAATGGACGAGGAGATTCAAGCAGCTTTCCAGGAGTTTGTAAAATTAAGTAAAGGCTAATTCTTTCTTTTTCCATTGTGTTAAAAGTTGCTTTACGAACAAAAATGAAAAAAAAACTCGTCTGATTAAGTTAACTCTTTTTATTTATTGATTTTCGGACTTTATATTAGAATTGTGTAAGAGATAAAAAAAACCGTGTATTTAAAGTGGTGTTTTCAAAAAAAAAAGGTGGTTTCTAAAAGCTTCAATTAGATTTTTTTGAGAAAGAAAGTATTGGGGGAAAATAAATTGACGTATTTCAAAATGACAATGACATTTTTCGGAGAAAATAAAAAAAATCGCAATTTTTTAGCGAATTAAACTAAATTCCAATATACAGGGTGATCCATTGTTTTGAAAAAGTCTCAGGTTTCTTATTTGAGATTGTATATAGTTTTTAAAATGGAATGTTGCAAAAAAATTTACCATTTTTAAAAAAGACTATAAATTCTTGATCAATACAGAGTGTTTTTTCAAAGCTGTCTATTTTTTAGACTAGATTTTCTGCATACTCTTTCAAAATTATAAAATAGGAAATATTTTATAATTTTGTCCTTTTCAATACTAATTATACTAAAATACACGATATTGCACGGTATGTACAGGTTAAGTCAAAACTGTATATACTGTATTTTCTCCACAATTTCAAATAAAACATATTTGAATCACCCTATATGCCTATTTTGGAGTAAAAATATTGAGGAAAACACATGATTGAGATTCTTTGGAATACTAGGTCACCCTGTACACATTAGTAACATTTTACTATCTTTTGTAATTTGGAAATATAAAAAATGATTCTAGTCTGTAAAAATCAATTTAGAAACATCTTTGTATCCAATACAATATATACAGGGTGTCATTGAAAAGTAAATAAAAATAAAATAATTACCTGTGGAACCCAAATAACCTGAAAATGAAAAAAAAACATTACTCAGATGTCAATTTATTTGTTAATTGATGAAAAATATAATTAAATTTTTGATAGAAAATATTAAATTTATTTTCATGTTTTTTAGAAACTGCCGACCTTACAGCTATAATAGCGTTCTCGAGCGAGAAACTTTTTTTAAACAAATTACAGGATTATTCTTACAGCGGTTTGGTACCTGTCAAAGTTCTTATCAAATAAATTGAACAAAAATGTTTGCCCAAACTAATTTGTTAAAATTTAGTGTGGTATAAAACTGCTGTTAAATGCTACAAATTAAAAAAAGGACATCCTGTAGGTACATATTATTATATCATTTGAAAAAGAATGCGTGTTATGTAAATTTTGGCTCGAATACGTATAAATAGCTTAGATATTCGTTAGATGTCCTTATTTTGTACGTGTTTTGTTACATTTGATTCGGGGTTTTCTTAGCGCGTCCATCGTTTTGGAAACCAAGTGAATATATTTGTAGTAAGAGTATCTTAAAAAGTAATATTAATGCACCCCAAAAAAATAAAATAAATGATAATTTAAGGTATTTCTTGCAGTTTTATTTCATTCAAAACCTCTTTAAAAATAACCCCTGGTTGAGCCACCACATCTCTTACAGTTTCCGAGATTCCTATGATGAGAATCGAATTTTAAACATCCGGTATATATATCATACGATAGAAAAAAAACGGCGTCAAAGACGGCTGCGGAACAACAATCGATGATAATTTTCTCGAGGTCAAGTCCTAGACGTCATTACTCGGCCCATACTCTTCATTTTTTAATAGCGCTTACTGCCCGTTGGCCTTAAGAAGGATGTTTATTGTTATATTGAGTAAACATGATTTTTAAATGGTATAGTTTAAAATTCCAGAAAAAATAATTATTTGAAATAGACGTGTCTGAAAACGTCCAATCTTTTTTTAATATTTCCGTAATCGATGTTAATTTTGACAAGTTTTATGTCAATTTTTAGTAAATAAAGTCTAGAGATTGACCTCGCCAAAATTATCATCGATGGTCATTCCCCAACCGTCTTTGACGCCGTTTTTTTTTCGATCATACAGTACCATACAATTGAAAAATAAATACGGCGTCAGGGATGACTTGTGAATGAAGATCTCTGTCATTTCATATATAAAATTATGTTATAATAGATCGTAATTTCCCAACAAACTTGACGCCATTTATTTTCTCGGCCACAGCGTATATAAAACGTATTGTTCACGTAATATGACTCTTGCTTCTTAACATATTCAAAAAATATCACACCACACTTCATAAACTTCACTAAAAACTAAACATTTTGTACAGGGTGTGTACAAAAAGTCCGCAACAAATGTGTTTTTTGATACTGGACGTCAAAATAAAACACTAAATCACCACAATACACCAAAACACTTTTACTTTTACACTGGACGCGCGTTTTGCTAACCATGTCTTAATCATCTGCTGATGATGCTAACATGATTAGTAAAAAGCGCGCCCAGCGTAAAAGTGTTTTGATGTATTGTGGTGATTTAGTATTTTATTTTGTTGTGTAACACCAAAGGTTCCAACTGTAATATTGGACTTATTGAAGAAATTCTGTATAAACTTTTTTAGAACAAAAAAAAATTTGTTTGTCGCAAACTTTCTGGCACACGTAAAAATTATTTCAAAATATCAAACTCAAATATGGATGTTAAAAAAAACACAATTTACAAGAAAAAACAGTTGATTTATTGGTACCTAAATATATTTATAATTACTATACACAAGTAACAGTAATGCTGTAGTATAATAGCAACCATTTCATCAGAAAACATGATGCATTTCCATCATGGAGGGAAAAAAAGACAAAAAATCTTCCATAATACACAAGGAACTCCTATATAATGAAAAAATCCATCCTCTATCTCTTCAGGTCAAACAACCAGTCATCATCAGCATCCATGGTAATATACAGGGCGAAAAAAAAAATCAACGTGGCCTTAAAATCTATCACTAGCCTTTGACTCTCTTTTGGGAAGAAAAAAACGTATTTCTTCGTGAAAAAATACTCGCTAAATTGATAAAAAAAGCAGCTGCAGAAGACGTTTCGTAGACCACAACGTATTTTTTAGGAAAATTTCAATTTTTCGGAATATAAGTTCTATTTTATTGGAAAACGGATTCGGGGAGCGTGTTCTTGAGCTCAGAAATTGGCCAGACAGGCCATGCTACTTTTGCAATCGATCGATTTCTTTCCTGGGTCGGCGTACGCCAATGAGAACGGCTCTAAAAAGTCGAGGCACTCTTCGACAGTGCGGAACGCCAATTCTTTGGCTAGGAATTCGACGGCGACCGTCTGCCGGTAGCTAAACATAAAAACAGAGTTAAGTTAAAGGTCGGAATAGGTCCCCCATCAAAAGGGGGAACCCCGAAGATGTGCTTTCAGTAGGGAAGGACGTATTTAAAAAAAATCGATACTTTGAATATCGATATTTGAAAAATTATCGGTAAACCTATCATTAAAAAGCTTGTTTTAAAAAGTATTGTCCCAAGTACCTGTATTATAATTGACAGACGACTAAAAACTCGTTTTAACAATTCAAGGAAAGAAAAAAAGATTTGTATTTAAATAAAATTTAATAAACTAAGTTTACGAAAACTAATTAATCAAATTAATAATAAAATAAACAAACCTACTTTAAAGCACATCTTCTGTAAACCAAATATAGAGTATACATACAAAAAAATAAATAGTTCTGTGCAATTTTAAGTCAAAATTGAAGGACAGTAGTATAAAAATAGAAAAAAAAACAATACTGCTTTTAAAATATGACAGTTCAATTATTAATATCCAAAATTCTAAAATAAGAACCGATCATAAAATAAAACGGCGTCACAGTGGCCTTGGAAATGATAAACGCTGATTAATTTTGTCAGGTTGACCCCTATAAGTAATTTATTAAAATCTATCGAGGTTGGCCCGACAGAGATTATCAGCGATTGTTATTCCAAAGGCCACTCTGACGCTCTTTTTTGCGATCCTACAGTATGTATGTTTAACTTAAAATCAGATAAAAAAATACATACGCCATCAACACCTGAAAGAGAAACTAATTATAAAGATATAAATGATAGAAAAACGAATTTCGATTAGTAGTCCATTTGTACCACTAACAAAATCCGGTCAGAAAGCGAATGCGTTAACACAATATCAACGGTGTACTGAACGAAAATAGTTTCCGTCATCAAATGAAATTTTTAAAGTAGATAATTTGTATTAAATCAACATAACTCAATGAATTGTACTTTATGCTAATTTTATTACAAAAATAATGTAGAGGCCGAATATTAGCAATAGTTCATTTGTCCCGATGAAAATATTTTGCGACCGTAGTTTTTTCAAGCTGTTTCCTTTGAAAATCCGCTTCGCTTAATTTTTAAAGTAGTTCATTTGTATTTTGTATCAAATCTAGATTTATCTAGATTATACTTCACGCTAATTTTACTACAAAGAATCATGCAGAGGCTGAATATTAGCAGTAGTTCATTTGTCCCGGCGCAAATATTAAGCGACCGTAGTTCTTCCAAACTGTTTCCTTTGAAAATTCGTTTAATTTTTAAAGTAGTTCATTTGTATCAAATCTACAAATCCATAAAACGAGCGACCGTATTATAATTTACGCTAATTTTATTACAAAGAATCATGGGCCGAATATTAGCAATAGTTCATTTGTCCCGATGAAAATATTTTGCGACCGTAGTTCTTTCAAGCTGTTTCCTTTGAAAATTCGCTTCGCTTAATTTTTAAAGTAGTTCATTTGTATACAAATTCATAAAACGAGCGACCGAACTATACGAAGAATCATGCAGGGGCTGAATATTAGCAGTAGTTCATTTGTCCCAATGAAAATATTTAACGACCGTAGTTCTTTCGAGCCGTTTCATTTAAAAATTCGCTCCACTTTATTTTTAAAGTAGTTCACTTGTTTTTTGTATCAAATCCAGATTCATAAAACGAGCGACCGAATTATACTTCACGCTAATTTTACTACAAAGAATCATGCAGAGGCCGAATATTAGCAGTAGTTCATTTGTCCCGATGCAAATATTAAGCGACCGTAGTTTTTCCTTTGAAAATTCGTTTCATTTAATTTTTAAAGTAGTTCATTTGTATTAAATCTACAAATTCATAAAACCAGCGACCGAATTATACTTTACGCTAATCTTATTACGAAGAATCATGCATAGGACGAATCTCAGTAGTAGTTCATTTGTCCCGATGCAAATATTAAACAATCGTGTAGTTCTCTCGAGGCGTTTTCTTTGAAAATTCGCTGCCACCTACCTTTTGACGATGCACTTAAGGTACGCTTTTCGCTCCCGCTCTATAAACCAATCGATAAGGAAGCCGGTCATGAGCGGCGCGGTGAGGTAGAGGACGAAGAATTTGTGAAAATTGCCCGCGCCCCACGCCGCTCGCACCTGCAACGCGAACGCTATGCAAGGGTTCGATTTGTCGCCCTTGGGCAGCGATTTCAGTATCGTCATTATATCTGAAACGAAAAAAAAACAAAAATAATGCATATGCAGAACTATCTATAGTAAAATGGGCTGTAAATACTTATAACAAAAAATTAGATGATTTTCATTAAAAATGCCGACTTACCCAATGTGTTCTTCGTGAAGATGAAGTACAGGATACGGTAGGCGATGAATTCACTACGATTTTTACCGCCGACCTCGTTATAGAGCGACTTTAGTTGCGTCTGACACTGATTAAATTCCTCGTGGTCGCCCTTTTCTAGAGCTATGCGCGCGTGCGTTTCGTATACCTCGACCGTGAATTCGTTTCTAATTCCCTGTACCTAAGAAAACAAAAAAAAATCAATTATTTTCGAAATCCCTTAATTTTGAGAATGTCTGTTCGTATTGGCAACGTTGTAGAAAAAGGGAAAAATGAGTAAAATCCCTTAATTCGGACAATATTTCCTCCTACTGACAACTTCGCAAAAAAGACAACAAAATATAAATTATCTATTGTAATCGCAAAACATTTTCCGATGCACGTCATCAATCATATCGACATTGATACTAAAGTCTATAAACCCGACTAAATGAAATTTTGGTAAAAATGTTTAAATTTGTTGTATAATTTAAGATACCGAGCAGCTCTTCATTTTATTTTATAGAGCAAATGATTATAATAGATATTTTATTTAGATTAAAGCTGCAAAAATTAGTTTAAATCGAATTTTATTATCGCTACAAATAGTGATGTTGGTAGCGAATATTTCCATTCGAATTTTGCAGGAAATTTCAGAAATTTCCGAAATATTCGGTCCCAAAATCGCGAATATTCGCAAAAATCCGAATTTTGCAAGAAATTTCTTTTCAAAATTCAAGACATTGAGCAAAAATTTAACGAAAGTGTATCAAGTATGCCTATTCTTAAATCAGAAGAACAAAAATGCTTCTCCGCCTTACAAAATAGAAAACGTATGGCTCTTAAAATAATGCATTTTGCCGCGAATCTCTTGGCCCCCTCTGTTTCCTGGGAGAGCACCTTAACAATGAAGAACACATAGCCGCTATGGAATTTATTAACAATATCACCAACAAACATCCTCAGTTTGTCAATAATAAAGAAGCCATTTTTACAGACGTAACAAATTATTGCGCGTTTGGATGTCAAAAAAATGTAGACTGTCTAAGTTGGTGGCAGGCAATATGTAAAAATACTCAGTTGAAATATTTAGCTGTTGCTCTGCTGTCTTTACCAACGTCATCTGCAGCCACTGAGAGAACTTTCAGTACTTACAGTTTTATCCATACTAAAAAAGGAATCGCTTAACTGCACAAAGAGCCGGCAAAATAATGTTCGTAGCTCATAACAATAAATTATTACCACAAAAACAAAAAGTGGATATGGAACATGATATGCAACAACATGAAACTCCTCCAGAACCACTATAACCCGTGGAGGTAGAGGTCCATCCTTCAGAATCAGAACCAGATGATACATCAAATATACCTGATTTGGAAATAAAAACTGACGAAGACAGTACTACTACTACTACTATAATACCCTATGAAGATGGGACCAGCTCGGCGCCTGAAAGTATTCCGGAATAGAATAATTCAGTTATTTGTGTTTTACGTTTTTTAAATTTATATTTCGTGCTTTTTTTTTAAGTTCATAGTCATAGGTTTATGTACAAAGTACAAATGTTACCAAATTATTTTTGTTATATGTTATGTTTATGACTTTTAGGAGTTATGTATTGTTTATTAAAAATATAACAACTAATATTATGTTTATTGTTTTTTTTCCACTTACATGTTGGTATCAAATGTCTATCTAATTTATTCATTGTATCAACAAAAAAATATGTAAAAATTATAAAATTTAGATACTCAGAATAATTCAGTTATTTGTGTTTTACGTTTCTTAAATTTATATTTCGTGCTTTTTTGTTTTTTTTTAAGTTCATAGTCATAGTTTTCGTCATGGTTTATGTACAAAGTACAAATGTTACCAAATAATTTTTGTTATATGTTATGTTTATGACTATTAGGACTTATGTATTGTTTATTAAAAATATAAAAACTAATATTATGTTTGTTTTTTTTTCCACTTACATGTTAGTATCAAATGTCAACCAACCACCTAACCAACTAAAAATATGTAAAATTGTAAAATTTACTAAAATTTCATAAATTTCCGAAAGTTTCGGAAATTTCCTACATCAATCAAAAGTTTCCGAAATATTAACATCACTAGCTACAATGTGTTAGTCCCATTGCACCGTGTTCAGCAACGTTGTCGTTTATTATTTGACAATTATCCTAATGTCAGTCATTATTTTGTATAATATCGTGTTGTTGAATTTTTATGAGCAATTCTCGTTTTTTTTTATTACTTTGAACGAGAACGTGACAATAAAGGTCCTTTATTACCCTTGACTGCAGTCAGAAAAGTAATTTTGATTGATAAGCACATTATACCGTATGATCGAATAAAAACGGCGTCCAGTTGGCTTGGAAATGACGATCGATGGCATTTCCTATATAAATTTACATATAAAATGACAGCGATCTTCATTTCATAGCCATCGCTGACGCCGTTTTTATTCGATCATACGGTACCACTTTCAAAGTTAGTTTTTATTAAATTCTGTGATTATTAGTTTGTGCATTACTAGCACCCTCTTATTTGTTATTACCACTTATGGCGTTGTAAGATGTATATCAATAAATAAATAACCCATAATAACGCTTGTAATTATCTTCATAACGAACTAGTTTTTGCCAATATGTAATAAGTAAAATAAGCTATAAAACCAATAAATCAATTACTTTACCAAACCATAAAATATTACTTATTAAATTAAAAATAAAACGTGAAACTCTTTAAAAAATATATAATAAATATGTTGTTTGTCAATTTTAAATTAAGATTCATCTCATAAATCCATCACAATCTGGCAGCGCTGTCGCCATCGCTTGTCACTCAAAGTTGATCACGTGCAGCGGAATTTGTTTTGCGATTACCGTACATATAAAGAACGATGTACAGCCGTTAAACGGTAGCCTACTAAAATGCCGTTAATAGATATTGTGACGTCGTTCATGTCGGCGGAAAGTAATGCCTGGTCATAAGCATATTGCAAGAGCACCTGTGGCTATCGGTTCGTATGCGAATGGTCCGGGGTTCAAATCTCACGCTGACCAAGACTTTTTTATATATTTTTTTCTTATAGCGTGATCTTATTGCATTCGTTTCACTCATTTTGGTTGGATTGATTTAGTTATTTGGCGGGTTGGTTAGCGTGGTTATTTGGAGGGTGTTAATTCATTGGTTAGTTGGTTATTTGGTGAGGTTGGTTGGTTTTTACTAATTTATATTTGTTTTTTAATTTTTTTTTATCAGTGTCGAGGTTAGTTGCGTTGGTTAAATTGGTTATTTGGTGGGGTGGATAGCGTTGGTTAGTCCTTATAAAATTCCTATATTTCATAAAGCCGTCAACTGCGTCACATCAACGACGTCATACCTATTAACAGCATTTTAGTAAGCTACCGTTTAACGACATTTTAGTAAGCTACCGTTTAACAGCAGTTTAAGTACAGCCTATAAAGAAATCCCAAATAAAAATGAACTTACCGTTAAATCCTGCCTGATACTCTTCAACTGGTCGCAAGCGTAGTAATAATCCTGCTTTTCCAGCCACTTATCCTTGATATTGTCCAGAGATTTCCGCAAGATTTCCACCGGACGGACATCACAAGCTTCCGGAGCTTTGGTCAGTCTAAGAAACGACTTTTCTATGTCCTGACACGTTCCTATGATGTGCATGCCCGTCCAGTCCAAATCGTTGGCCGAGGCGTCGCCCACAACGTCTATGGCGAACCGAATTTGAGAACTTACGCTCGGACTATTAGAAGACCTGGAAAGAGACTACCAGGTTTAATAGACTGTTTTTTATAAGGTTTAAAAAACGATAATTCCATCACCCGGCTGGATAGCTGTGAAGCGCCAAGGAGAACGGTAGTTTATATCGAAATGAAATTTTGGCAGCATAATATGTAGGTTAACTGAACGCATTTTTTAAAAATATATAGAATTATACAGGGTGTCCCCAAAAAAAGTTACACATCAAAGTTGTGTTTTTTCTTATGGAACACCCAATATATTAATTAATTTTCGGATTATAGGAAAAAAATAAAGGTGAGTTTAATTAAAGAAGCATATACCAAAAATCCAAGAATTTTGAGATATTTCGCATTTTGTGACAATGAAAAGTAAATTTTAAATTTCTATAACAGCTACCTAAATTTTAGTTGACTCTGTATAGCCTGTTATTTAATTACAGTAACCATTGTATTTTAAACCAAATTGAAGGTGGGACAAAATTAATATGGACATTAGTCACTTCTAAAAGCAAGTTACTCCTTTATTTTAAATGGAACACCCAATATATTTTTCTGGTGTTCAATGCGGAATTTGTATACCTTCAAAATATTATTAAAGTTGCCTACCACCAGACAAAGATTTTCCTAGATATTTTAATTTTTATGATTTTGCTTCAGTAGATCTTTATTATTTGAAAAAATCTAGGTGGCTGTGTGATATACCTTTTGTTAATTTAACAAAAATTAAAGATTGTAAAATACTCAACGGTAATAAAAATATACACGTTTAAAACATATTTTAATTATTACAGAATTAAAACTAAATATAAACCTATAATTATGTGACAAAAATTAGCTAGATGAAATCAAATGCTCAAAAGGCTTCCTTTCCTGTTAACTGCATAAAATTATTGTCTTTTCAAAAGGATCTTTTCATTTTAAAAAACAATACAATAATTTCTCTCATGTTGTTGACAATAGTTGATTGAGTTTTGTAAACACTGTCTTTAATATATCCCCATAAAAAAACCAGACTAGATAAAATCAGGAGCATTTAAGTATTTTATTAATTGGTGAATGCATAACCTAACCAACTACAACTAATAGAATCATATCAATTCTTTCTGATGTAGGATAAGTTTGCATTTTCGGCAAATTTCTGATTTTTTTTTGTTTTCACTGACACAAAACGATAACTAGTTGATAAAGTTGGACTAATTAGACAGCTATGTTGAAGTAACGTCAGACATATCACCGCCACCTAGATTTTATCAAATAATAAAGGTCTACTCAGATCAAAACATGTAAATGAAAATATCTAGGAAAATCTTTGTTTGAGGGGTAGGCAACCTTAATAGTATTTTGAGAAGACATGAATTCAATTCTCTACAAGAATATCTTTCGACCCATCTAGTGCGAAAACTCGTTAAGAGTTAAAAAATTCCAAAGTTGCAAAAAAATCCCATGTTAATCAAATGGACATTTTCGATGGGGCACCTCTTAATATTAATATTAAGAGAATTAATATTAATCAAACTCTTTCACAGTATTTTTTTTTTCATAATTTCCAACATTTTCAGATATAATTAAGGAAAAAAAATAGTCGATTTTTTTGAAACAGTCTACTATTTAATATACAGGGTGTTTCAAAACTTAAATGGCTTTGACAACAATAAATTTTGATACACAGATGTATTTAGCAGAAAGGAAAGCTTACCTATTGATACTGTTAAATCTGGCGGCTCTCTGTTGAAGCACCTCATTGTTCTCTTCCATGTTTTGTCCAAACGACTGATAAAAACTAGCCTTTTTCTCCTTGGCTTTCTGTTTCTTGGTCATCTTGTTGTTAGGCTTACCTTTCTGCGGGCCCAACCTATCTGCCAGTTTACTTTTCTTTGTGTTTTTGACAGCGGGCTTGACATCTTCATCGCTCGATAAACTGGATGAACTATAACAAATTATCTTTTTTCAGCAATAATTTTTCCTAGTTGTTCCAAACATTATGGCACACCCTGTATATCTTATGTGTGCTATAAAGTTTGTGCCTGTATGATAAAACTCTAAGTAATTTCTTTTGGTACTTCCTGGATGAATACATTGTATACCCTGTATATCATACAGGAAATCCCAAAGGAAATCACCACTTAATATTTTACACATTTATTTTGCAGCACTCTGTGTATAGGGTGATTACTTTATGATACAGAAAAAAAAAATTGCGTCACAGTAGATGCCCTTATAATATTAAGTATAATTTCTATGATTGAGACAATTCAAAGACTTCTGAGACGCAGATTTTTCTTTCACCTGCACCAGTAGATATATAAAAAACATACCTGGACCTTTTGTGTCTTCTCGGACTCCTAGATCTGCTTCTTCCTCTTCTTGGACTCCTCGATCTCGACCTAGAATTGTTTATCTTGCCTCTGAAATTATTTTTACCACCCAATCTGGCCCCCAAAGCGGGGGATAAGCCCTTCTTGGGGGTGTTTTGGAACTGGGCTAAAACGCCAGTGCTTATTTTACTCTGCCCTGTAAATTTAGGCGATTGTTGTTGCTGAGTTTGCTGTGTTTCTGAATGTATGCTGGGCAAAGGTTCTTTCGACCAGTCCTTGTTTAACTGCCCTGATTGATATGCGTGAGTTATTTTACCCTTTAGGATAATCTCCACCTAAAAATATGTTTTTTTTTTCAATCCTGACAATTTTAATTCAGAAAATAAACTTACCTGATTCTTATCAATAGTAGTTTTGCATTTCGAATAACAATTATGAACGTAATCCTTCAAACTTTGAGGCCAATCATCGGTAGGATTGTCTGCCGCGTTCTGCCCGCCATTTTGAACAGGGTTCTGTCCTGTATTTTGAACAGAACCACCTGGAGGAGGCACAGAAAAATTGGCAGACAATTCCTGCACTTTGGCCATGTTCTGGGACAAATCTGAAGTTTTAGGATTATCGGGGGGTAAGGGAGGTAATATTTCCGGAGGGGGTTCTGGCTTAGGAATATTTTTCACATCCTCTGGCAGAGGTAGTGGCGGTGGCGTATTAAAATGATTCCCAAACGACATAAAATTCTGGTTATTCTGTTTATTATTCCTGTTTTTCTTACGCTTCTTCTTAGCTGCGCCACTATTAGGCGAATTATTGCTGACTAAAGCATTCTGCATCGGTAATCTCTTACCGTTTATTTGAAACCTAACAGGCTTATTTGCATAAGGATTCATGTTATTCATGTGATTAGGCATAGTGCCTGGTAAAGGGGGATGAACTTTATTGTTAAAATAAGGGAAACCACCCCAACCGAAGTGATTTTGGGGCATGTACGCACCGTAGGAAGCATAATTATTGAAATTGTGCATGTATGCCAAGTAATTATTCCAATCGGCCTGGACATTTTTATTATCCGGAGGTGGTTCTTGGGGTTCAGGCTTGGGAGGGGCAGGAGGTAATGGTGGAGCATCATCTGGAGGTAAAGGTGGTGGAGATATCCCTGGAGGCGGAGGTATCGATGCTAAATCCGTAGCGGTTTCTTCCATCATGTAGGATACCTAAAAATAGCAAAAAATTTGATGTCTGATTCGATTGAAATGAGTGTGAAGTAATAAAGTGTTATAGCATGTTTTAACATTAGTCTCTAAAAATATAGAGAAATAAATATAAAGTTCTAAAATCGCCATATTGGCCGAACTTAGAACTCACCTAAATCGTTGAAAAAAACGATGGAATAAAAGGAAAAATGCAGTATCTGTAAATAAAATTTGATGAATAGATAAAGCACTAAGTGTTCTGATTAATATCTAGCACTATAAAATCACGAAAACTAAATATTTCCGATAAATTTCTCACGAGAAACGACACAAGTTGTCATTCTTTGAAACCTACACTACATCCAAATTCCAAAATGGACTTCAAATCTTGCATCGTGATTGGATGTTTTTTAGTTTACCCATCTCTTACTAATACATGATAAAAGAAGAAGGAAGAACTATATTGCAATTTGTATTGACAGGTGACAGGTCGGTTTTATACATATGGTTTTATACCGGGGGCGTTCAGAAATTAGTATAAATAAATGAGGCGGCAATTTTGAATTTGATCTATAGGTATCTGATATATTTTTAATTTGTTGTAAAAATCTGGCTTCAAATGCTTATTTTATGTAAGTGTATTAAATTATCGCAGTTGTTATTTAGATTTATGTTTTGATAAATCATTTTTAGTCGATGTTATCGTTAATTTTATTACCTTGTAGTTCTTGTGGTTACCTTGTAGAGTTTTTACATACAGGGGTGACTTGGTGTTCAAAAAAAGCGCTATAAAAAAGTTTCTAGTTTGAAATTTTTCTCACCAATCTTTTTCATAAAACATGCGAGCAATAACGGACATTTTAAACATTTTTTTGTAAATATACAGGGTGTTCTAAGTTCAAGCCTTATCATTGGTATCGCTGAAACTAGAAGAGATACAATCGGTTAAATGGAAGCCAAGTTGTGTAGGTGGATACTGATCAAAATGCCAAACACTTAAAAGTTTAAAAATCCCAATTATCCACTTTCGAAGATTTTTAGAAAAAAAATCAATATTCGCGATTTAATTTTGATTTTTTTTGTGAAAATATACAGGGTGTCCCAGAAATAAGTGCAAGTACAGGGGTGGTAGATCTCGATAAAAGAAACATATTTTCTCTTTATCGTTTTTCAAATAAGTCCAAAATAACGGAGTTATTTTATTTTGAAAATTTCACAAAAAAATGATTTTTTTGCTAAAGTTTTGACAAACTGGTTCTTTTCTGGATTTTACCTACTAATACCTATGTTGTCATATTATCAAGAAATTATATGTTTTTTAACTAAAAACTAAGAAAAATTTCCAAAAAATTTCGAATTTTCAATAATTTTTTTTCGCCAAAAAAACCTCATGCATTAGGCATGGGGTTGAACTATACTGACAGTTAAATACTTGCACTTATTTTTGGGACACCCTGTATATGACATAAATTAGGATTTATTGACGTAATAAACTGTCACTTCCTGTTTCACCGGAAATGACTACAACTTTTGATTTTTAAATGGCACCCTCGGTATTTTTTTACTTTGTTCGATAGAAAATGACACTCTGAATAAAATGATATATCACATACGTCAACTTTTTGACATTTTCGAATATGGATTATTTGCAATTGCGACATGCGATTCATAACGACAATTTGACTCGAAATATCAAGTGTGTGGTACCAAATTATATTTGAAAAAAAATATATTTTTCGAAATATCCCAATGAGCCACCCTCGTTCCATTTGAAAAAAAGGAGATATGATTAAAAATACGATTTAGGCATCTTTTAACCGGCCAGGACAAGACACTAAAAACATTAGACAATCAAATCTATTTTTCTAAGGCTCCTTCATTAAAAATTAATGTTTTTCACAGCCATGATAAAACACAAAAAGTAAAAATAATTGTTTTAAATCATGAAATTAATGAATCAACATCTGCTAGGATATATAAATTATTATTTATCAAAACATAAAATACTGGTTAAAATCTGCGATCATTTATCTATAATTTGAAGGATATTTTACCAAAAATTAAAAAAAGAACACTGTTAGACGCTTATAGGTCAAACAGTGTATTCTGACTGTCCATTATTGAATGGTACTGTTATTTTATAAATGTCAGTTCAAAACAACTTAAGTTACTCAACGAAAACGTATACTATTATTCATCAATCGTTTTCGTATTCTATCAAATAGTACTACCGCGACGGTACCAAGTACCATCAACCTACTGCGGCCGGTACCATCGCCGAACAGACCGCGGGCAACTCCGCGGCTGTGGTGCGCCCGGCAAAAGATAGATACAAACATTTGCCGGCCTCCGTACCACTTGGTGCCAGCCGGCGGGTCACGCAGAGCGGCGGGAGTACCATCGCCGTCGCTGGTACCGCTGCTGCGGCTGCGATGCCATGGAAATTCAATGGTTAAACGAGAACGGCGTTGCCACGTTTAAACGCCACAAGAAATTAAAGTACTATGCTGAAGAAGTACAGTAGAGAGCTGCAACAAGCCAGTTTTAAAAAGACTCAAGTCTTAAGTCATTTCTAAAATCAAAATGATTTAAGTCTTAATAAGTCTTTGACTTAAGTCATTTTATTTCAACTCAGGTCATTTTTGTAAAGACTTAAATCAATATAGCATGATTTAAGTCACTAAAATGATTTAAATCAATATAATTACCCTCAAGTCAAGACAACCAGAATTATTCAATTTAAGTACCTGTTTCTTCTTTTTATTAACGACATTGCGCTAATATAAACATCAGTGGTAAAATATGTCTTTTTGCGGACAACACTAGCTTCACTTGGAGCAACAAGGACGTCACGGCACTTCATGGGATTATATCAAATGACTTAATCACCATTAAATCTTGGTGCGATTCGAACCTCCTGAGTCTCAACATTTCTAAAACTAAAGCTTTGTCGTATAAAAACTCGCTGCAGCCTTTGGTACTTAACAACACCACCATTGACGTCGTAAAATCTGTAAAATTCTTAGGGCTTGTTGTAGACAATTCTCTAAAATGGGACATGCATATCGACGCATTATCGAAAAAATTAAGTTCTGCCTGTTTTGCATTAAGATCTGTTTCTAAGGAGATTAACTTGTCAGTGGCTAGAACTGTTTATTATGCACTTTTTGAGTCGCAACCTCTCTCAGGTATGCCCTTCCATTCTGGGGTACGCGTTGTACGACTCAATTTGACCGCATTTTCAAGCTCCAGAAGAGAGCTGTTCGATATTCACTGGGACTAAACAGGTGCCAGGAACTCATCGCCAGGACTTTTTTAAAAAATTAAAAATATTAACTCTTCCTTTCTTATTTATATTTGAATCCGTTTGCCTAATACGTAAGCATGTATATATCAGCTTCTCAAGAAAGGCCATCTCACACTTATGCACTCAGGAACGCGGAGCAAGATCTTTATCTACCTACCCCACGCTCAGAGTTAGTTAAAAGTTCAATATTATACAAATCGAAAAAAAAATGCACAATCACCTGCCATTTGAAATCAAATCCATAACAACATCATTTTCTTCATTTCGCAAAGCATTGAAATCTTATTTACTAGACAAGGCTTTCTACGCCGTAAATGACTTATATTTTGATAATCGAATTTGATTTAGTAAACACCGGTCTAATATTTGCTATTACTATATTTACTATAAACTTACTAAATATTTTTGAATCTTATTTTTATTCTTTTATTCTTTGACATTGTAAACATTTTATAAATGTTTATTTTAAACAATAAGACTGACAATATAATTTGTATACTTGTTTTGTATTCTCTTTTGTTTGTTTACTTGTTTTGTTACTTTGTTTGTATTTTATGTACTTTACCTTAGTCTACAAATTGTAAGATTTTTTGACAATAAACACTTTTTTTTTATAAAATAATATATCTATTACTATTAAATTTATGAAGTATCGAGTATAGTAATAATTATTTTATTTACAACCAGCTATGGTAATGTTGATATTACTGGCATAGAAAAATTATTAACCATATATGATAAATTTAAGTATAAAGCGTAAACTGTGGCAACATGGTGGGACAAAAAATTAACAAATAACACTTCATTGTATTCAAAGTATTTGTTCTTGTATTTTTTCTGAATCTCATCAGAGATGCGGTTTGGAAAGACGAAAGCATATACACATTAAAAAGTAATATTAGATATTATTTTTCAATTTACATTTTTAATTATTTGTGTGTGAAAGATCTCCTACAGAACCGGAATTTTCGATCTGTAAACGTTTCCACATCATAAATATTAAAATAATTTATTTATTTGTCTATTTGTGTAGAGTGTAGTAATAACGTTTACGCTTTATTTAACATTATTTGTTTTAAATGTTTTTTTTTTCAGAAATAACTTTTAAAAATTGGCGCCGGGAGGCACGTATAGCTGCCGTTGGTAGGCTGTTCTTTTAATTTCAAAGTAAAGGAATTTTTCCAATTTTTTTTTATCTCAAAAACTGCGACTTTGACTGATTTCGATGTTATTACAAATTTTGTTACAAATATTATTCCTAATCTTAAATTGAAAACCGCGTTTCGCTAGCTGCTGTAATATTGGAGTTACGATTTTTTTTTAATTTTTAACCCCCTCCCATACCCCCTTACCAACCCCCCACCCCCACCAAAAACTAAAGGCCAGATTCTCGGGTGCCACAGTATTTTTGTGCCAAATTTGGTTAAAATCGGTTCAGCGGTTTTTGAGTTATCGTGTTACAGACGGCAGACGGACAGACGGACAGACGGACAGACGGACAGACGGACAGACGGACAGACGGACAGACACGGACAGACGGACAGACGGACAGACGGACAGACGGACAGACGGACAGACGGACAGACGGACAGACGGACAGAACGGACAGACGGACAGACGGACAGACGGACAGACGGACAGACGGACAGACGGACAGACGGACAGACGGACAGACGGACAGACGGACAGACGGACAGACGGACAGACAAGCACCATGAAAATATTTTGTATTTAGGTCATTTATGACCCAAATAACTCATTTTGAGTGAAATTAAAAGAACTTTTTTTTGCCGATCTTAATAGCCCATATAACACACAATATCCGCAGGATATTCATAGAATGTCGGAATGTCCCATTATAAGATCATCTTATAAAGTCATCTATAGGATATACTCCAGACATCCTGAAATCCTGTAGATGTCTCAGAATAGAATATCCTATGGATATCTCTGTCGTATATCTAATGTACATCCAGCTGAGATATCCAAACGTGCTCATGATAATAAGATATCCTAACAATATCGTCTAGATATTTAGGAAAAATAAATAATGTACTACTTTTTATATTACATAAAATGCAATAAACCATACAGATAGATATATATTACGTCAAGGCAACAAAATATCCTGCTGGTATCTTCTGGATAATCTGGATATTTATGAGCTTGGCCACTCCCAGTAATAGAGAGAATTTAAAACGCCCGCCCAAAAAATTCTCACAATCCATCTCAACAGTTGTTTGATTTTGCATCGTGTGTTATTCAGTTCTTTGATTTAGTGAAATTCGAGGTGGATTCGGTCGTTTGTCGATATTGAATGGGCTTAAAATGACTGAAACTAACAAAACTGGTTGAGTTTGACTTAGTTTTTTCTTATACTCATAGTTCTAGCCTTGTTCTAGCAGAAATTATATCCTAACCTCAGCTAATGTCGAAAAACGACGAACGACTACGACTCAGGGTCTCACAATGAAAAATTTGTTACAAAATTATAGGTGAAAATTTGTTGAAAAGCTCTTGTTCTTTATCCATAAACCCATTTTCGTGTTTGATCTATTCGAACAGAAATCCTATTTTTGTGTTTTATTGTGAGTTTCTGGAATGTGTGGTGTTAGAAATTATACCTGTATCCTGTGTGCTAACTTTGATGTAAACTGTTGCTGCTAGACATAAACTGCTAGACTCCATAAAGGGTAGTATAATCTGGTATAATACCATGGTACAAAGGATGGTACAAAGGTATAATACCATACGATCGAAAAAAACGGCGTCAGAGGTGGCTTGGAAATGAAGATTGATGTTATTTTGAATGTAAAATTATATGGGGAATGTCATCGATCGTAATTTTCAAGCCAATTGAAGGCCGTTTTTTTTCGATGGTACAGTATAAATTGAAAGCTCTTAACTCATACAAATAAACTTCTAAATTTTGACGCAAAATTCATTGACATAATATTTAGGTATATTTTAGAGCTGTTAATAAAAATATCCAATGAATAACGTCAAAATGTGGCTAAATAAAACTAAATCGCGAACGTTTTTACTATAAACTAAGGATGAAGTAAGTATTGTCAAATAACAGTCCTCATATAATAGCCTAAAAATATTCTATAATGCTCCCAACATGATCCTTGTATTATCCTATAAATATCCCAAATAATCGTAAAAGGCTTGCCTAGGGATGTCTTGAAGATGACTTTTTTTGTCCCATCTGGATATCCCATAAATATCCTCCTCTGGTTTTTGGATATCCCTAAGATATTTACTATATCCTTGGTGGATATCCTCAAGATATCTATAGGATTGTGTTGTGTTATATGGGATGCTAACTTAATTCTTCTGCTGAGACTGTTGATTTTTGGTAGTAGAGGTACCGAGCTGTGTATTAGTTGTCCTAATGACATATATTCTTCTACTATTTCCAATGTTTTGTTATTTATTAGAATGTCTTTGCTTTCCACTAGTTCGTTGTACTTTACTTTAGTTTTCGCTAACTTCATTTTAAGACCCACTTTATTGTGTGTTATGTACCCATTTATATATGTAAAGATATACAGATATACACTAGTAGGTACTTTATCGTTTTTTAAATGGGGTTATTTAGCTGATAAACACATCAAAATGACATAATATCCTAATTGCCCACCAAAGTGTTAAATACTAGATTTTAGGACCACAGTTGCCAGATGTTAAGACACAAAATTTACTTTAACTAAAGCTTCTTTAAGTAACTGTAGATTGGGTGTTAAAAATTATAAGCTTGACCTGAAATATTATTTCTATGCCTATCGCGACGTTATTTTTTACTGATTCGTATGGTTTATATTTAGTATATATATTTAATGTTCATTACAAATAATAAACTAATGAACTAATTAGATTCAAAATGGTTTGTAAATAGAAATTAAAAAAAATCATCTTAATTTAATTAATTTTCAGTAAAATTCGTTTGATATAATTAGTGTACAGTTCAGAAATTCCAAATCTAATTAAAAATCAAGGAGACAACCGTTATTCTATTGCTATTCATTTAATTGATCTGTATAAAAAAAACAATTTTGTTTGTTAAAAGAATTTAATTCGTTAATTAGATAAAATTTACCGTGTAATTTTAATACAAAATTCTTTTAAAATATTTTTTTTATTATTTGAAAGCTTAAGATCAATTGGCAGTAAGCGCCATTAAAAAATAAAGAAGAGTACCGGCCAAGTAAATAATATCTAGCGCCTGACCTCGCCAAAATTATCATCGATTGTCGTTCCCCAGCCGTCCTTGACGCTGTTTTTTTTTCGATTATACGGTATTTAACTTCCTAGTGTGATTGATATACAGGGTCCGGCAATAGTGCGTAGGTCATATGTAGAGAATAAAATCTTTTGTTTAAGTGCACTTAGGGTGGCTCAAAAAAGTGTGAGTGGATCAGGATGATTTTTTAATGGAATACCCTGTATATTATTGCATTTTTGGCTTCCTTTCAAATCACTTTGCATAATCCTACAAAACGAGTAAATACATTTCGATATTTTCAGATATATTAATAAATAAATAAAAAAAAATAATTTTGCAGCCTTTCTTAAAAAAATTATTAAAAATACAAAAGAACCTGTTTTGAAATCAAAACTATATTAGGTATTTACTTCAGATGGTCTGTACTTACATTGCTATAAATATTGTAATTTTAAATCATACAGGGTGTTCAAAATTCTACGCCAAACATTCTAAAATATAAAATAATTTTTCTTCGTTTTTTTTAATTGAACACCTTGTATTTCATATGGCATTTTCCACAGTAAATTTTTATCAAAGCCACCCAATTATTTTTCCCTCGTATTTTTCCATTGAAACATATATATGAAGTAATACTGCGTGTATATGCAAAAAACCATTTTTCAAAATTCTGAACTATTTTAATTGCAAAAAATGTTAATTTCTTAGTTTTCCATCTTTTGGAAAAATAATATACAGGGTAAAAAAAAATAAAAAAAGACAACGATTAAAATTATTTTACATTTTAAAAAATTTGACGTATAATTTTAAACACCCTGTATGATTTTGAGATTACGATATTTATAGCAAACTTAGTACAGACCATCTAAAGTAAATACCTAATACAGGGGGTCCCAGAAATAAGTGCAAGTATTTTAACTGGTAGTACAGTTCAACCCCAGAAACACGCCGATGAGGTTTTTTCTCGAAAAAAAAAATTAGAAAATTCGAAATTTTTTGAAACATTTTTTGGAAATTTTTTTAGTTTTTAATTAAAAACATAATTTCTTGATAATATGGCAACATGGGTATTAGATTAAATTTACAAGAAAGAAAATCCAAAAAAGATCCAGTGGTTCTCAAAATTTTAACAAAAAATCATTTTTTTTTTGGAAACTTTCAAAGTAAAATAACTCCGTTATTTTGCACTTATTTGAAAAACGATAAAGAGAAAATATGTTTCTTTTCTCGCAATCTACCACCCCTTAAAATATTTGCACTTATTTCTGGGACATCCTGTATAGTTTTGACAACTATATTTTCATGTTTTTTTTAATATAACATACGAACATCTTTTAAAACACAAAATACACTTAGATCTATTTTATCACTTACTAAACCAATGAATACAGACCAACAAACAAGAATTGTAATATACCAAATATCCTGTGAATGCGATAAATTTTACATTGGTGAAACATCTAGACCCTTAAATGTCAGAACTAAAGAACATAAAGATTATTTAAGAAAGGGAGATTTTCACAAATCTAAGATTTGTCAGCATTCTTGGGACACAGGGCACAGAATAAATTTTAATAACGCCAAAATTATAATGAAAGAAGCGATAGCCTCTAAAAGAAAAATAAAAGAGGCTTTTTTAATTCAATCTAATAAAAATAAATGTATTACTCATGCATCTGTAAATGTAGGTAGTAGGTAGTAGTAGTAATGTTTGGCAATCGCTTTTTGATTTTAAAGAACAATAGATACAACAAGATAAATAAACATAACATACGTAAAATTTAAAAATAATCATACAGAAAGTTTGGGGCTTTTTGGTTTTACCTTATTAAGTAATTGTTATCAGGTAGTAATTGTTAATTTTGAAGTTTAACTTGGATTTAATGTCATTTTAACAGAACGTCATCGGTTTCTTGTAGACGTACCTATCTGTCCGTAAAGTGTTCTCGAATAGTTGAATTTAAATATTTTAAATAGTTTTTTTTCTTTATTCTTTGTATTTTTTTTTGCTTCCGACGACGGAAAGAGATAACTTTCCGAAACGTTAAGCATTTTTTTCTCTTTGTTGGGCAAATTTGTATTACTACAAACATAACTTCTGACAAGCAGCGTCCGTTTAAGTTTAACGCAGAAGTGTTTACAAAAAAATAAATATTTTATTTTGTAGATTTTCTTGCAGTGCAGTGGCGAAATACCCATATAGTTAAACCACTAACAAAAATCGTTCTAAAATCGTAAAACACCTTACTTCATACCGGCAAAATACAAAAATACTATACGCGCTACCTGTCCCAAAAGAAAACCGTATACATTTTACATTCATCAGGAACATTATGCGCACGACACCTGTTTCACTTCCCTATATCGATCATCCAGCGCGTCTCGCGACAAGACCACCCCGCCATTCAACCCAAACGAGTGCGACAGAGACAGATATAGCACCGGGGATTGAACGAGGTGAGTTTGGCGAAAGGCAAAACGTATAGTGTAGCCGCGTCAAAGGTTCGAAATGAACTCGGAGTTTTAGTAGAGACCGGGCCTTAGTCGACATAGGATATACTCGATTTCCCTACGTAAATGAAAGGTGAAAACTCGCTCGTTACACGTCATAAGGCCTGGAAAAACTCCCGCGACGGGACGTAAGAAAGAAAAACTTTTTTTTTCGTGTGCGCGCAGAATTTTCTTCAGTGTAAATATACTTTTTATTTTAATTTAATTAAATAAAAAGAACTTTTCGATAAAGTGATGGAATTTTTGTACTAAAAAAAAAGATGAATTTGGAAAAGTGGTTGTGCGTGTAAAAGAACTATTTTTGGATCGAAGTTCAAAATGGGGTGGTTTAGTACTGATCACCGACATAATATAGGATGGATTTTGTTACCTCTAGTTAGTTTGTGGACTATACAGTTGATTTTCGCCGAAAGTACCAAGTTAGCGTTTGGAGCAGGTAGGTCAATTTTACAGTACTACTTTACGTCATAAAAGAGTACCTGTTTCTATTAAAAAGAATTTAAAAAGTTTTCAAAATATTTTTGTAGGGATATTTTTTAAAGGTACTGCCGTAAAAAGTACCGTATGACCAAGAAAAAGGCGTCCTGGTGGCATTCGATGATAATGTTTCTCGGTAAAAACTAGGGTTGTTATGTTTAAAACATTTTATTTTTTGAACTTAATACTTAATCACTTAAATCTATTATTCTGTGCTACAACTCGGAGATGTACGCTTTATCTTTACCCAACCTAGGCACTTCTTAATTTTGAATGGGTTTTAGAATAGTTTTAAACATTAATCATGTTTAAAACAATTAAAAAATGTTTTAAATGAAATAAAAACACGCCTGTTTTGTTTAAAAACTAAAAAAAACATACTTCTTCAACTCTATCGACCTTTTTTTTGCTAAAAATCGACATAATATTAATCAAAAATTTTGAATTAATTAAAAAATTATTAATTTTTCACAGGTTTTTATATACATTTTTAATAAAGGACTCGATAGTTTACAGAAATTATCATGTATCTTCTGTCGTTTCAAAGACTACTCTGATGGCGTTTCTTTTTCAAAAGAACTTCAGAATCTATTATTCTGTGCTACAACTCGGAGCCGTACGCTTTATCTTTACCCAACCTAGGTACTTCTTAATTTTGAATCGGTTTTAAAATAGTTTCAAACATTTAATCATGTTTAAAACAATTAAAAATCGTTTTAAATGGAATAAAAACACGCCCGTTTTGTTTAATAACTTAAAAAACACATAATTCTTCAACTCTATGAACCATTTCTTGCTAAAATTCGACATAATATTAGTCAAAAAGTTAGAACTAATTAAAAAATTATTAGTTTTTCACACAGGTTTCATAGTCTAGATAGTTTACAGAAATTATCATGTATCTACTCTCGTTTCAAAGACTACTCTGATGGCGTTTTTTTCATCGTTTTGTATAAAGATAGGTAAACGTAAAGACTTTAGAAAACTTATTTCAAAAAAAATTAAAACTACAAAGTCTTTTACGTATTTTTTTTTAATAAAAAACTTATTTATTAAATATAGAGGTTTCTTGTCTATCATAGCGTTGATGTCTTTTCTATTACAGGTGGTTTTAATAGGGAATCTTTGATTTTTGATTGATTTTATCAATGTAAAACGTTTGAAAAATGAATTAAGGTTGTTTTTAGTCGTACTTTAAAGAGAAATCCCCACAGGTTATTTATTTATTATGTGGTACCGGTAGGAACTGGTTACCATTTCATTGCCAATGTCGCGTAAAAGTTTTTACGAATTTTATGCTGAATATTTTGAAGTCTTCATTTAAATAAATGACGTTTGAGATAGAAATGGTGTTATATTAAAATATTATTTTATGTTTTTAATGATAAAAAATGTGTCTGTTTATAAGATATACCGGGTGCGTCTCAAAAGTGGCTCACCCCTATAACTTTTTTATTTTTTCAGATAAAAAAACGAGATTTGGTTTGTTTGGTTTTTTTTCCCTCTCACGGATACCCCGTAGCTACAGAACGGACAGACGTACTGTATATAAATTAGGATTGATTGACGTATTCAATTGTTTGACGTACTACAACTTTTGATTTTTAAATGGCCCCTCGGTTTTTTTTGCTTTATTCGATAGAAAATGACATTTTGAATAGAATGACACATCATATGTCAACTTTTTACATTCTGGCTTAATAAAAAATCGTATTTTAAAATTCAATCTAGAGTGCCATGGCTAGGTTAAAAACACTAATCCTTAATCGAGAAGCCTTGGAAAAATAGATTTGATCGTCTAACGCTTTTAGTGTCTTGTCCTGGCCAGTTAGAAAATGCCCAAATCGTATTTTTAATCATATCTCAATTTTAATCATTAGCATAATTGGAAAAAGCATTTTTTACGAATAATTTGATACCACACACTTGGTACTTCGAGTCAAATTTTGGTAACGAACCACAAGTTATAATTTCAAATAAACCATATGCGAAAATGTTAAAAGTTGACATATGATATGTCAGTGTATTCAGAGTGTTATTTTCTATCGAATAAAGTAAAAAAATACCGAGGGTGTCATTTAAAAATCAAAAATTGTAGTCGTTTCCGGTGAAACAGGAAGTGACCGAAAACAACTGAATACGTCAATCAATCCTAATTTATGTCATATACTAACATAGCAAGTCTCGTTTTTTTTAACTGAAAAAATAAAAAAGTTATAGGGGTGAGCCACTTTTGAGACGCACCCGGTATAGTGAGGGACAGCAATATTAGAAAAAAAAATGTTTATAACTTCGTGACGATAATGAAAATTAAAAAATTCTGTTAAAATTACGTTACCTACATGAAGTCAAACTTCAAACTAACAATATCTACTGTAAACCTGATCACAATATAATAATGAGGTAAAACCAAAAAGCTTAAACTAAAAAGTTATTTATTAAAATAAATATAATATATATTTAATATTTTATGATTTTTTATTAGTAATATTTTAACTATTACAAACTTTTATAACAACAAAAACAAAACAAACACACAACGCTTTATTGTATAAAAAGCCAAAACAGCTTCATCGACAAAGCACTCACAAACAACAAAATCACAAAAAAATACACCATACAAATAATACAATTCAAAAAAAAATAAGTCTTTAAAATTACAAAAAGAATATACATGGATAATTTTAAAACAGTACGCAGTAAATAGATATACTTTTAGAGTTATAAAATATTAAATACTTGAGACCTTTGACCAGTGTGTGATATGATCAAAATTTTAAAATTCAAAATTGTTCATAATTAAACATCAACAAAAAAGTCGTTTACCGCATATAGGGCTCTCTCCAGTAAGTATGATTTTAGAGCTTTGCCAAATGCGGGAAAGAATGAAAGCGACTTGATATTCAAAGGCAGATGATTAACCTTAACAGTATTGACCCTTTAGCTAGTTCTGAGCTCGGGGTTGGCAGATAAATTCTAAGGGCAACGTGGCTGATATGAGTGAAAAAAATTGGATTAATTGGTATACAGGGTGTTGTTTTTGTGAGTGTCAACTGCAGGGAACCTTGTCGAACTTTTTTGTCGCACGCCACTGGATAAATTTGTATTTTTTTTTCTGATACCTTCCGTCCTTTTACTAACTTTTTTTGTTCTTAAATTTTTTTGATATGTCGCTTAGTTTTCGAGATATTTCACAAAATTCCGGACATAGCTCAGCTGCGTTCGAAAAATGTTACTTAATTAGCAGCATGCCATATGAAATATAATTAAAATTTTAGCGCCAATTTACTCCAAGCGGAAGCGTTTTTGGAGTATGGTTTATAATACAAACTATCATTATTTCGGTTAGTTCTATCGATACCTGAAGTTATTCTAGTAAAATCTGAATCACCCTGTATATAGGTCATGACTGGTAGTACAGATTGGTCGAATGTTTTCTTTTTTAGATAAAGTTGCATTCTAAATTTGAATATGATTGAGTTTCTTCCATAAGTACTCTATGCTAACTTCTTCTGTTGATTTCTGGTAGTAAAGATCCCGAGCTGTGTACCAGATAGAGGTGTGTAGTTCGTGAACGAACTAGTTCCAATGAACTATTCCAACCCCGGAATGAAAGGAACTAGTTCCTGGTTTCTCAAAGGACTAGTTCCTCAGGACCTATTCCGGGATCGAGACTGTGTCCGATATAGAATAATATGCGACGGATCGGCTAGCGCGCGTAGCCCGATGGTAGGCAGGAGTGGGGAGTGCCAGCCTTATGCCGTATGTTATCAGATCCGGACCTAAAGGAACTATAGGAACTAAATAAAAGACTAGTTTACGTATGGATCAGCCAGCGCGATTGATGCTAGTGCGTGGGGAGTGCGAGCCGTATGTTATCGGATCCGGACATAGAGGAACTATTAAAAGACTAGTTCACGGGAATCTATTCAGTCGGCAGATCCGAGATATAATACAAGGCGACGACGATGGATTCGGCCTTGTCTATTGCTGCAGCCGGCGCCGGCGCGGCGTAATTATCACAGAAAATTGTCGTGGATGCTGTTTTTCATTTTTAGTTTGTTTTTTAAATATTTTATGGGAATGTTTCACTTTAGGTCCCTAAAATTAAGAAATATCTTATAAAACGAAGTAGATATTCTGAATTTTTAGACAAAAACAAAAAGCCTGAAGTGAGGAAAAATGCAATTTTTCGTAAAATTTTTGTAATATTTGCTCCAATTGATTTGTGATCTAGTTTTTTAAATTCTGATTTGAATTTTTTTTTAATTTTTTTTATCTGCTATAAAACTTACCTATATGTTTTTAACATACACAATTACACGTCTCGTTATATCTCCGTACATTATAAAAATTATACAGATACTGTGAATAGTTCTGACTGACAACGAAACGCATTAGCAAGCAAGGGGGATGTCAATGTTAGTCGGGAACTATTGTGAACTAAAGACCTAGTTCAAGGAACTATTCCTCTGGAGGAATTAGAACTAAGGAACTAGTTCCTCCCATTTTTTTTTAATTAAAAAAATTACGGATATTCGGATATAAAAAAAATTATTTGTATACAGGATCAACAACAGAATAGACCGACAGAACAGATCAACACAGAACATAAAATAAATATTAAAATATTAATATAAAATGACACACAAACGAACAACAAAACTATAAGGTTTGCTTATATGCCTATAAAGGTTTCCTACGTACTTTTTTGTTCGCAAAATTATCAATTACCTCATCGTAATTGATAGTTACGTAAAACTGCCAAATGATTTACACGTTCTGTTTCCATAGTGGTAAATAAGTTTTAATACGTTTCAATGCAGAAAACCAGCGTTCAGCAGAACAGTTAGTAATTAAAGTACATGTGAAGATTCTTAATGCTATGAAAGTATTTGGAAACAGATCTTGAGCTTTTTTTTATAAATTATTTTAAGAAGCTCTCTAACAGATGGTTTT